TAACGTGATCGACCCGATTGTTCACTAAAAGGACAATCCTGACGATTTGCAGAATAATCAGGAAACCGGGCTTTATCAGAACGTTAGTAATAGACTAGCACACAAAACAGCTGTCAAACGTCTGCGCTTGTGCGAACGCTGTAACGATAAGGTGGCGCCTTTTCATGGAGTGTCGGAACTAAGTTGAATCAACGAGTTGCAAATGACCACACAAGCGAGTAAATCACGCTATTTTAAAAGTGTATAACCTTTTTTGATACAGCTCAAAACAGAATGGTAAACCAGCCGAATACCTGGACTTAAATAAGCTCTGACCTCCAGTTTTCTTTTTCTATACTGTTGTTTTCCTTTTACAGATTTCGATAAAAGTTTCAGAAATCTTTCGCTAATTTTGCGAGATGGCGGTTGGTTCTTATGTTTTCCTTTGAATTTTTGCGCGCGAAAATGAAGCGCGGCCGACCAAAATTGATCCCGTCGCGCATGCTCGACGTTCGACCGCTGTGTTCTAGCATACGAACGGTCTTTTATAAGTGCCTCGGCACGTGCAGCGAAGCCCGCAGGTTTTAAGCCGGCGAATGAAGCGAGCCTGTGAGAGGTTTGGGAGGAGTCGGGTCTGGGCCGAAACATTTCAGTTCCTTACAGAACTCTTAAAAGCTTCGCTTTGGGGAAACCTGGTGGACGCTTGGGAACCCAGAGGAAGGTCGAGTAAACATGAGAACAACTGATTTGAAACATTGCTGTCATAATACTCATCCGCGCACGTGCGACAAGAAGTGGGTTAATATTGAAGTCTTTTTGTAAGTGGTGCTCAAGTGAGACCGCCGAGATATATTTCAGGAGCTAACTTACCTTTCCGTTACAGTTGTGACGCGTTCTTTTTTCCTCGGGAACATTATTTACTGGTCCTGGCTGAGTCGCCAGATAGATTGATTCTTCAAGACTTGTAAACATTTTCTCTTTCTCCCATTTTTGCAAAAGCGGGAAATATTTCACGTGGAGGAATATGTCGATATCTGTATCCCAGGGAATTAGATCGTTATTGCGTAGCATTCCAATAAGACTCCCTGCAGCTAAAGTGTAAATAATGTTGTGTTTCTTGGCTGCAATAGTCCAGGCACGAAGAAGATGGCACAAATTGTCTCGCCTTGAGTTATCAGAACAATCTGAGTCCCCGTATGCTTCCCATGTTGCATTGCCTTTGCAAGATATGAACCCGGGCCTTGTAATCTCTACATTCTGAACTCCAATACTTCTTTCCTCTTCAACTGATGCGGGCGTGGTCGGTCTATAAGCATTTGTGAAAATGTGGTTTGCAATCTCTGCATTAGTTTCATTTATCATTATATATGAGTTAGTTTCGTTGTCAGATACGTTTCTCTTTCGAAACAACTGTTTAAAGACATAGGAATCAGCCACTTCTAGCCGGAAAATGTAAAAGAGGCTTAAAATTCCAACCGCGACAAACGTTGAGAAGAAGTAACATTTCCAAGTCTGAAGAGCACTGAAGGCTGTCATCAGTGGGATGCTGTCAATCTTCAGTTCACTCAGAATTTCAGTAGTGATGATTACAGTGCTCCAATTTGAGGACGGTGAAAGTCTCTATTTGAAGGTTTCTAAGTTAAAAAAGAAAACACACTATAATTTTTAAAAATGGCTTCAGATGTAAGTAAATTGCCATCCCATATGATCATCTTCATGCACTCAGTGTTAACATTTCACGTCACATCATTTGACCCCTAAGAGTGACTGGCATCTAGTTTCTCCTTACAATACCGACCCTGATTCACGTATTAAGGTGACATGAATAAAGGAAATGATCAAGAACTAAAGAAGCTCTTGATTTTTAAACAAATTCTCCTTATTAGCACCTCGGGAAATGCATACAACAGTAAAGAGAAAATGCATGCTGATGTGAGGGTGTAAAGGGTTAATGTAACCCAATCTCGTTCCCTGTGTGTTGCGAAGGGAGAACGTCTAATTTTAAGGCTTGGGCTGAACATCCTTATTGTTTTTTCGCAGTTTGAGCCTAAAAAAATTTCTTAACATGTTCTCAAAGTTGTGAGGTCTAGTATTTAAATAAATTGATTCGGACGTGACCAGACTGTGTTCGACTACAAACTGGGTCGTTCTTCAGCTTATCGTGCAATAAGAAAACCGCATCGTTAATATTAAAAAAAGGCCCCAAAGTAGTTGAGTTTATTGTCTTGTTAGACCACAGTTTTACATTTCTTTTACCTTCAAACTTTTGACACAATATAAAGAGCAAAATGAAGATGTTATTTACTGACTCTCAGCCAAGATGTGTTCTTAAGGTGTTAAAATTTTGGTTAATCTCAGCCTGAACGCCCTTTCGAACGGTTAACCTGGTAGTGGCGTTGCATCTCGGATTTACATAGCGTTATCAAATTCTCTCATCCTTCCATGTGTGTTGACATGAAAAAATTCCTCGCTTGCTTACAGCTGATATATTATCCGGCCAAAAAAAAGCAAAATTTAATCGAAATTTTTGACTAAATATTTTTTATATCTTGGGAAAAAATTTTCTTTCTTAGCAATTGATATTCTTCAATGCATTCCATGATTTGCAAGGGTGTTTGAAACTTTGAATTCATAAATCTTAAGTTAGAAGCCCTTGTGCTGCTAAACCATGGCGCTTCTCTCGTACGAAGAACTGCTTATCGAAGGTCAGCGGTGCAGCCAGCCTTCAGGCCCATGGGCCTGCAGTTTTTTTTCCACTTTCTTTACTTTTGTAATATGACTTTTGTAAATGTTGAAACAAATATTGAACTTCCTTAGGCTGCAGAATTACGACAAGTCGAACAGCTGGCTACGCCCTTGCAGGTTGCAAGTCACTTCATATTTAATCACAACTCAATATAAGGGTGATGTCACGCAACACCATTTTCTTTTGAAAAGAACGAGGTATTGTAATTCACAAAACTTTCTCGTAACCACCTTTCTCTGTTTTTTCCTATTAGCGATGAAATTATAAGTATATGAAAACCGTTTCCCAAATCACCGTGCACGTTATAAATCGCAAAATGATCGATGAAGTTAGAATCTAACGCTATTGTATCTACGATACGAAAGCAACTCGGCGGGTAATTTATTTAGGATTTTGAAATACAAATACATATGGTGATTAAACAGCATACTAATTAAGACTTTTGTTAGCTTGATTCGAGGCGATGGTAATTCCAATATCGGTGGATCCGGACCTGAGAGCTATTTTACCGACAAGAGAGAAGTGGTAGTTTGTCCTCTCGAGGCACGAAGTGAAACGAACGTGATTCTTCAATGAAGCAAAACGAACCTGGGTTGGAGCAAGAGTACAGTACAAGGCCACTTTTGAAGGAAGTTTATCTTGTGGCTCGTTCGGCTCGGTAGCGGACAAAAGAACGAGTAATATTGAATATACGTGTCAGTTAGAGGCTCGTTTGGCTTGGTAGTGGATATAAGAACGAGTAATATTGAAGATACGCGTAAGCTAGTGGCTCGTTTGGCTCGGCAGTAGATAAAAGAACGAGGAATAATCTGTATGCATAAAGTCTCAGTTCTATGCATTTAGTGGCTCGTTCGGCTCGGTACTGGATGAAAGAACGAGGAGTAATGAAAATTCAAGTTGAGTATTACGTTTATCTATTCACTGGATCATTTGGCTCAGCATTGTTAACAAAGAAGTAAACGAGCCAAACGAGCCGACTCGTTTGGTGGATGATTTAAAGTGGCCTTGTATTCTGTAGGTTAACCCCTGGGTCTCAAAGGATTCCCAATATTCACTGTCTTATGATGTAATATTTTAGATCACTGACACGGAGCATTGAACGCATGGTTGAGTAATTCCCATGTTGTATCTCTTGGACAAAGTGACATTAATCCACCGGAAACGGGTGAGCATTGAATATATGGGATCGAACTGAAGCGTCTGACAGAAACTTACCTTTCATTCTTGGCCACTAAAGGGAAGTATGATGGTCAAACTCATTGTTTCCTTAAGCCATATCTGAGTGGACCTCTTCCTATAACCAGATTTCTGCCTCGTGGCCACTGGTCTGTCGTTAACCTCAGAATTACGTGGGTGGCTACAAAGCAATTTTTCGTGTTCACACTGCGTGACATAGGCTTTGGTAACTTATTCCTTTTGGTCTGTGCATATAATCAAATAATTACAACAACCACTGGTGATGTACAAACAAAAATTTCGATTGAAATAAAACTCAAACCATATTAGCGAATAAAGTTGCGCAACAGAATCTTACAGCTGTTTAAATGATTTTGAGTTCGAGTAAAATATTTAACTAATCGATCTTCGTCGATCGCGCCGACTATCTTGACGAGTTTTTGGCTCTTGCCATCATAATACCCCGTTGTTGTTATGCAGTTTACTTTTAAATATTTATAGCTCTTTGTTTCGAGGTCGAAACGCGTTGGATCCCTAAAAAAGCGAAAGTTATTTCTCCTAACTTCTGCACAACAGATGTTTCCTCACAGGATCCTCAACACTTATTTCAGTCGAACAACCCATGGCTCAGACATCGTTACAGAGTGAATATATAATTCATCGCAAACTGCCCGCTTTATTGGAGACTGAGTTTACTTTAAGACAGCAGGAATATACACAAAGTGCTGTTTAACCATCAACTAATTGTTGATTCAGGGGCGAGATTGTAAGGAGAAATTAGATGTTGGTCACTGGCAGGGGTCAAAACTGATGTGATGTTTTAAGTGCATGAAGATCTACCTATGGGTTAATAATTTACCTACAGCTGAAAATGTTTTTATTTCTAATAGTCTGTTTTCTTTCTCAACTTAGAAACCTTTACATGAAGGCACTCTTACGGTGCCTGCTGGTGACTATCCACGCACGGGGCAGTGTGTTAAGATATATCCAATGGCACGTAAATACTTTAATCCGTTGTTATTGTTTATTTATATTTTTAAAGTGGGATATCGCACAAAAAAGGCCCCCAAAAAGGTATTTTTGGCTGCATTGTACTATGATCTAAAAACTCTTACGCAGCTCTGCCGTTCACATCAACCCAAGTTCCATTCTTGCATTTATAAATAGGCTCAAGGAAATCGTCAGTATTGAAGTAGATTCGTGAAATTTCCCAAGGGTTGCGTGGACATGACGCTTCAAAACCCATGAAGTTACACGGCTCAAAGGGATAAAAATCCTTCTTAGGGTACTGCTTGAGTTTATCGTCGCTTGGATCGTCTACAAAGAGCACTCTATCGTAAAAGTGATAAAAGTCAATGTGTAAGTTTCCCTTGAAGAGTCTTCCAAGTGGCTCCTGGAAAGAACATTCGTCTATAAGCTTTGGCGCCACCTGTAATAGGAAGACAAAGCAACCAAAATGTTTTTGTGTTCCTACAGATGAAATTACTATCTAAATACATGTCTTTTGACAAGCTAACTGATAGGATCGGGCATCGCCAGGTTGGAATTATTCGTCCTGAGGAGTTGTGCTCCACTCAGTCCTTATGACATGAGGATGATCAGGTAAATGTTTGTGTGGGGGACTTAAGTGAAACAAAATAAAGCAAATGCTTTTCAAAATTTCTCAGCGCCATTACAAAGTTTTAAAATCTGACTGTCTGAAACGAACAATGTACTATGTCAGCATCTTTCAAAAACCGAAAAGTCGAAAATGGACGTGATTGTCACATAGCCTACAGGCCAGACTTATTGAATTAAAAGGGCCGCTAGATGTCAGAATAAATGAATGAGTAAACAAATAGATAAACGATTGATCATTTATCGACTGTTTTTAAAAGGACATCTACCGATGACATACCTTGCCTTGACAATCATAACGTTTCCTCTTTTCAACTGGAATGTTCAATGTGAATTCTGGTTGCAGCACCAAATGGATCTTCCTGTCTGACCGTGAAAAATTTCGTCTCTCAGCCAGCCTTCTCATAGTCGTAAAGTAATTGATATCAATCAAGACGTCTATGTCAGAATCGTACGGGATTATATCGTTATTTCGCATCGCCCCTAAGAGACTACCTCCGCACAGAACGTATTCAATGTTGTATTGTTTGGAAATGTTAATCCACTTTTGGAAGAGCTCTGTCAAACCGGCATCCCGCCAGGGGTTATCGGGACATCCCGGTTCGCCATAGACATGGTTTTTTTCTCGTTGTGAGGGTAGATTTGACCTTTCTTTCAACGTAGGGTATTTTTCCGCTGTTGACCTCTCCGTTGTCGCTTGAGCCTTCACGGTGCTAACACTTGACGAAGTCGATATACTTTCCGTTTGAAGTGGACGGTGTTTTAACGTACCTGGGCTTAAATTCGTGGTTTTAGTGTAAGGATAAATCATTCCAGGTTTCCCAATTTTAGAATCTTGATGTTCCTCTTTGGTAGCCCTCGCCATATGAATAGATCCACCTAATTTACTGAATTGGAGCTTTGTAGGTAATCCTGTCCTTACTTCTCTTTCTCTTAAAGCTTTGTACACCATTTTCCCTTGACTATCCGGCAAAGCGATCTTTTGCATTACATTGTGCAGATTAACCACGCCGGTTGAAGTTCTTTCGAACTCGTAATTAGCTCCTATATGTTTCGTCGAGGAAAATTTAGCTCGCAAAAGAAAGAGCAGGCCGGAAAATAAGAAACTGAACACAAAATACAAAAACAGTCTCAGCCAAGCGCGTGTTAAAACAAAACTTAGCATTCTCTCGACTGAGTTAAAGATCGACGGTAGTTTCATTGCTTTGTTTGTTCACCTGACTCGGAGTAATAGATACCGTATTAGCAAGTCTAATACCATTCACGTTGGAACAAAACATCTAATAGGAAGAGGTTACGTGAAGAGATAATAGGACAAGAGATAAAATAAACAAGTAGAGCACTATCGGTTTCTTAACCTTTCTGAAAGGTAGACTATGGAAATTCTCAACTTTTCCCCTCTGTTTGAAGAAAATGGAAGAACTGCAAAACAGACATATGATCTTCGCTCGTCGGGCCAATCCAGAAAAACAGAAAAGAAGTGTCCCTTCAATAAAAGTGACCGATGAACTGGCTATGGAAAAATTTTGAATCGGGAACAAATTTTGTTTCCCTAGGATGGATGTGTCCTGTGAATTGAGAGGTTGCGTATGCGACTGGTTCGACAGTATAAAGATATTAATTAATAGATTCCGAACCTCTCGCAGCCAGCGAGTGTTCCCTTAGAAGGAACCCTTCCGAAAGAAGAGATTGCTGAGTTTTTCTATGTCCGTACCAATATATATGTGAAGGCAAAAAAAAGGATTGTCTGATATAATTTTTTTTTTTTAAGAAATAGGGCTACTCCCCCATAAAGAGACTGCATTGATAGATCAACTACAGGTAACGGAAACCGTTCGTTTCGCTAACGAGTCTTTGCCTTCACAAATGACGTCGGGGACGGACATCGGACAAACTAAAATAAAATCTCTGTCAAAGGGCTCTTCCTGGAAAACTATCGTTGGCAGCACGAAGGTTGAGATCTGTTACGATGGTTGACTATCGATGAGACAAAAACTTTCAGCAAACTTGACCTCAACACACGTTTTAATCTGCAGTTCTGGCAAATTTCTGACCAAAGAATTGACCAAAATACTGACCAAAGAAAGCTTTACAACACAGTTCTATTTAAGCCTAAAATACAAAGAGTCAGGTAAGGTTATGAATTATCTAAAGGATTTGGTCGTGCTTTAAACTATCTAATACATTTTAATAAGAGCGATTGGCTGGAGAGGAATTTCGCCTTTAATTAGATCTTAAAATTACTTTCAAAACAACACAGGTAGATAAAAACTAAACGAAGGACTTACACAGGTAACGTTTACAGTTTAAAAATAATTACAGTTTCGAACAAAAGACTACTGTTTACGGCTGGCTGAATAACAACTGGTTGCAGAGCTTAGCAAAAGTTCCGCAGTTTCCATATGTTGAACTTCATATATTACATCAGCATTAGCACAGTAGACTTAAAAACTAGAAATCCTCTTGCTACACTAGACCTTAGGCAGATATCTAGCCGGCTGGCCTCGCTCCAGGCCCTACACTTTCCGTGGGCGAAGAAACCTTCGTACCGCATCGCCTATACAATGAGGGCTTGCCCGCAGTTAAGCCAAAATAAAGTCAAACTGACGCAAGCTTTCTAGGTGAGATGTAGTTCATAATTAATGGGAAATGATAAGATTTTTTTCTCCTGATGGGGATTAGTGCATAAAACACAAAGGTGACTAAGTATCGAAAATAAGTCTCCATGTATGAATAAAAATTTCTTAGGGCCTATTGTAATTAACAATAGGAACATGGTTTTGGGTATCCGCGACAATACTCGGGAGGGCGAGTTGTCTCGCTTCGGCAGGTAGGGTAACCCTGTTAAGCGGGAGAACTTTTTCTCATATAGACACTTCAGCTCGCCTGCTCGAGACGAGACGGTTCAAATTGTTTCCGGAGCTTTAGTGTATTAGGTCAGCGGAGACCATTTTGTCCAACATGTAACCTGCCTGTCACGAGAGAGACTGGTGAGGGGACCGCTGTCACAACTCACAACTCGATGCAGACTCTCCACAAATTTTTCTCGAAGGGGAGGGTTGTCTTGGTACCCAGGGCCATATAAATATTCCCTTTGAGCCTTAAAGTGACTGAGTAAACTTTTAAGCTAATTAACTGAAAAGAGAAGCGAGTTTCACACAAAACGCCATGTTTTTTCTTTTAATGTTATGATCATTCTTAAATCGTATGCGTTTCTTAGAAACGATCTGGTTACATAGAACACAGATTGGCATGCTTCGGAGGAAAGATTGTTGCACCCCTCCTCACTTAAGACCCTCTCCGTATTTTAACAGTCGCACGATGTCTTCGCAGTTAAATCGCCCGTCTTCATCAGTCAGAGCTCCTTGCAGGAAAACTTCATCAACCTTCAAAGATTAGTAAGAAAATTAAGACAAATATGAAAGAAAAATTATCTGAAGTAGATAAAGGGAAAGGCACTTTGTAAAATATGTCATTCACCGCTTCTTGCATTTATCATTCGTTTTTATATTTTTTTCTGGAATATTGCTTAACCCCATAATATAGGCAATGACAGAATACTTAGCAAATTTGGTTGACTGAGGTTTTTTTTTCTCGCTACGTTCTTGAGGCCAATCGAGTCTACTGAATTGAGTTGAGAACTTTATACTTGAGTCGGGCAAAATACATAAATAAAAACTTAGACCCAATTAATTTTAGTGAAAGCATTAACTACACCAACTGATCAAATTTTGGAAATTGCCTTGATACCTGTTGCTCTGTTAACCTCAGACCCATCGTCATCAAGAGTTCTTTGAAATCGTCGAAATTTAAAACTCCATCGCAGTCTTCGTCAAAACATGTAAAGGCGTTTCGGATTAGATCTTCGGGGTCTGCGGAACCCATCTTAGAAGCAAACATGGACAGAAATCTTGCAAAGTCCACATTTCCTTGTACCTCGTTCAGCATCTCCCTGACCTCCTTGTCTGTCGGTTTCTGCCCGAGAGAAATTAAGATTTTCTGTAGATCATCTTTGCTTATAACGCCGTCACGATCTTGGTCGATGAGATTGAACGCTTCTTTCAGTTGAGTCAGTTGCTCTTTGTTGATGTGTCCCGTGGCCGGCTGCCTGGTGCCTACTGTTCTTTTGAATTTTCTCCGCGGGAGAATTCTGCTCCCGTCTTTGTGATAAATTTTGCTTTGCTCGAAATCCATTGCTTTTGGTGCAGTACTCAGCACGTGCAATGAAATATTTAAAAGAATCAAAGTCATTATAGGAAAAGTGGTGTGGTCAATTTAGCGCACAGAACATCTGCCTTCCTAAGAGTCGCGGTCTGTGGAAAGAAAGATAAGCCTTTGAAATTCTGAAACCACTAACCAAATATGTCACTCAGTTCTTGTAAATGTAGCGTTTAATGCATTAGGCAAATTCCGATTGACTTCTTTTGAAAAACATGTGATATCATCTGACAAATTGAATCAGGTGTCATTCAAGTGAATTAATGTAAATATTGGTATACAATAGGCTCGCCAATTTTAACCGCACCTTGAAATGGAACTGTTGTGCATATTATCGATTTTTCACAACACAGAAAAATGACTGGCGTAGTTCTAAATTGCAGATTATTCAAGATATTGTTGCCATTTGTTTTGAGATAGAGGCAGTAAACAAAGTTAACGCAGATCGTTTAATTAAATTTCAATTTGTTTCCCTAGAAAGTAAATATTTTTGAAAATTTTAATTATGTTTTAGTGCGAGTGAGTACATTTTTGTAACTATGTATTTGATTGATTTATTTTTCTGTTGATTTTTCTTTTTTTTTCTTGTTTTGTTTTGTTTTGTTTTTTTTCATTTTGTTTCATTATTATTCTTGTTGACCACTTTATTTCCCTTTCCAACACATTTTAATACTTAATTCATTTATTTTGGCCGAGGAACTTCAGTAGGCTGGTACCAACTTTCCTACAGAGGAGGACTGGAGAGAGCATCTACGAACGCCTGTCGAAATCTACCATTCTTGTTACTCCGTCCATGTTTATGGCGGACAAATGCGCAGTAGAAGTCGTCATAAAACTTGGAGGTTCTGCAGTTACGCACAAAAATGTTTTTGAAACTGTCAAACGTGAGGCAATCTTAGCTGCGGCTGAGCTGGTGAAAAAACTCCCCGCTGGAAAATGTATCGTCATTCATGGCGCTGGGTAGGTTGAAGCACAGTGCAGGTATTCTTGCGTGCTGCAGAAATTCATCTGGAGGACTTAGGAAAATCAAAAGACATTAAAACGTGACAAAGTTGAATAATATCTTTCAACTATTGTAACACCCCTAAACAGCCATTTCAGAAGAGTTTACTTTTGGTTGTCTCACATGTTAGCCAGGTTTCACTGTTTGGCTGTTTTATCCGTAAGAGTGATTAGCATCTATTTTTTTTTTTTTTTAATTCAGTATCACTCCTGAATCAAAAATTAAGGTTATGAGAATGCAGGAAATGACCACACACTCAAGAAGCACTTGATTGTTGAACAAATTCTCCTCACCATAGGATATGAATAGAGAAAAATAGGTAAATTAAGCATATTGATGTAAAAGGTTAATAATTATGTGTATTTCCCCTCTGGAATTATAGATCCTTTGGACACTTTCAGGCCCATGAGTATGGAACAGCACATGGATTCTCAAATGACACTTCAAAGGGCCGTATTGGGTTTGCTAAAACCAGGCTCTCGGTGACCAAGGTGCTTTTAGGTGTTTGAGTTTCTTCACTCTTCAGGCCCGAACAGCACGTTTGCTCAAAGATTTGCATCATATTAAAAAGTTTGTTCTTGGTTTAAGGAAACATGTTGTATACATTTTATTTTCATGTTGACGTAATTTACTTTAAACTTTGAATGTTGGACTTAAAAGACATGGGATGACTGCAGACAACTTACTGTTTAATGTACAAGGTGACAGCTTAAAAATAGGTTTGTGCTTTTAGTTGAAGGGGAAAAATAGGCCCTTTATTTGACCTCAAGACTACATATGTATCTGTACCTTGAAAAAGGAGCCTTGTAATTTGGTCCTTGTAAAATAACATTTTTCTTTTTTTGGTTGTTTTCTGTTTTGATAGCTGTTACATATAATCACCGAAGTGTTTGTTGACAGTGGTATTCCAGCATTGGGAATTTCAGTAAGTACAGTGTAGGTGTACTTGCCAAGGTCAATCAGTCCTTTAGGTAACAAATGTGATAATCCTTCAGTGAGAAAAACATATTTTATCATAAATCATATGTGAGTCCTTTTAAGATGAGTGGTTGGCAATTATTGATTACAAAATGTAAGCTGTAGTTACGTCACAGGAAGCTAAACCTGAAAAAGTGATTTGAGCTTCCATGAACCTGAAACCTTTTTCTTCCTTATACCAATCTGGTACTGCTGCCAACTGGCCTATGAAACCACAGTTTCGGAGCAGAGAGCTTCCCGTAGTAGATTGTTGATTTGGAATCCTGTCACTATTTTCTATCACTTGAAACATGACTTATATTGGGTGAAGGTACAGTTTTGTAGTTGAGTGACAACCTATAGGTGGAGAAAAATTATCAAAGTGCAATGCTTGTTCAATGCTCTTAATCATGGCAGACCTACACACTACATGCACATGTAGTGCGAAACCTTCTTAACTGTGTTTTATTGAATGTAAGGAGTCTCTTTGGTTCAAAAATCTGCATTTTGAATCGGTACATAGTCTAGTTTGTCAACCATTTTTAACTCCTGAAATCTGATTGTTAATCCTTCCCTCTAGTTGCTAGACATTTCCTTGTAAATTAATAATGAGAGTTTGGTGTTAGATCAAGATAACAGCTTCTACTCCATAAGTTTTAGTGTTCTCATTACCTGTTTGCTGGATAACTTATGGATATTATGGGGAGAGGTTTCATTTTTATCACTTATGGGCATTTAAGGTTGAAGAAACATTTTCCTGCACAATATGAAATCCAACACAATTTGATAAAATTAACCAGACTTGGTTAGGTGCTTTTAAAGAATTTACCGACTGGCCAGCAGTTATAATTATAACTCTACTTCGATGTTATTTTTTTCAATATTCTTTTTGATGGTAAAAATGAGAGGAAATATGTAAAACATAACAGAAGAAGCATGTTTATTTGTTTCCTTTGATTGAATACCTCATCATTACCATTAACATGGGTTGATTACTATTAACACAGGCACCCTTTCTCCAAAAAGTTTTGTAACAAATCAGGGATGTGGCTTATCCATGGAAAATGTGCTACACATTGATCATTGCTTTGCAAATTTGGTGGTTTCTAAAGGAGCCGTTTTTGCTCATAGCAGTAGGTTATATTTCTTGCTGTTGAGTGGCATTAAATCTTCTTTGTTAAGAGACCTTTAAACCAGTCTAAAGTCGTCTTTCTTAAGCAGCTAAGCTTTGATTGGCAAGGAATGTCCATTCCACCCGTGTAAAACTGTTTACAGTGTCACCAACTGTGGGTCGCTTTAAGTTGAAGTTGGTACATGTAGTTGGCTGTTATTACAATTCCTAAGTTTCTTCTGAAACTTAAAAAACTAGAATCTTCAACTGCACGTGAAGAAAGAATTTCAGATGGTTTGAAACGCACTGACTGCTCCTTTAATATCTGGAGTGATACTGACTTTTTTATCTGGAGTGATACCAACTTGGTTCTTCCCCTCCCCTCCCCTCCCCCCCCCAGGCACCGAGGGTACGATGAATACCCCGTAGGTACCCCCGACAACAATTGAAATATGCGTCTGGCTTAAATTTATTGAAACCGGTGGAATATCAGTTAGAATCGTAAAGTAATGGCTTTCTTTTCCTTTTTTCTCTGTGTTATTGAAGCCTTGTGGATCATGGGTAACAAGGAAAGGCCGTGTCAACAGAGTGACATTAAGCCCAATCATAGAACTTTTGCAAGAGGGTTTTGTGCCAGTTCTCCATGGTGACTGTGTATTGGATGATGCACAGGGTTGTGCTATACTGAGTGGAGACAAAATCATTGAGGTTTGTCTTGGTGATTAGACAAGATTAGATTACGAGCAGTCCCCCTTTTCGGCGGAGTCCGTCGGGCGAGTAAAAGAAAATAATAAAAAAATTATGTTAACGCGCCGCGCGGAACTCTTATGTTAAAGATTTAGGTGTAAACAAGTATCCACGAATCTAAATGAGAGAAGCGAGGACATGCTAAACAGCAGACTGCAAACTGCGGCCTGTAGTTTTTTTCAAAATACCTCAATCGTCAAGTCTCGTGTATTAAAGGGACATTCAGAAGAGGGAACTGTCTACTACAGGCACTTCTCTCAGATGGATTATTTCGCTCTGACGAAGGGCTGACGCGCGAAACTCTTTACGGTGGCCAATTTACCTTATCACAGGCTCAACTCAGTTGATAAAACCAAATTATTTTGTTTGCCACAGGGCAGGGTGCCATTAGATATCTGTGCCTGAAAGACTGTTCATTTATGTATTTTGTTTAAAATGGGTTCTAGGACGGCTCTAGGGCGATATGTAGGTCTCAGTATGTGATATCTTTCCCTATGACTTTTAGAAACTGGTGGAAGAGCTTCGACCCAGACGAGTTGTGTTTTTGACAGATGTAGATGGGATTTTTGACAAGCCTCCAGAAAAACCAGGTAAAGGGATATTTTAGATTTTAGGGCCAGGGACTAGAGGGTCACTTGTATTACTGATAATTTTTTTCCTCAAAATAAGATGGACCTTGACAGGAAAAGAAAATCTGTCGTTCTCTCATTACCTAGTTTAACGCTCACTAACTTTCTTATTCTACTAACTCACATAAAGCTTTCAGCATTGCTGATCCACCTTTACTATCCCATCTCTAGATGCATCATTACTTAGAGAAGTGTTTGTTAAATCCGATGGGGGATTTTCTAACGCCATAACAACATCAAGCCTTGAACATGACGTCACAGGTGGTGTTCGCGGCAAGCTTCAAACAGCTTCTAATATCATTCATCTTTCTGAAGGAAATACGCGGGTATTTGTCTTGAATATAATGTCGGGATCTGATGCATACTCTGTTTGTGCTTTGGGTGTTCTGGAAGGTAAAGGGACAGAAATATTGGCAGAAAACGTTTAGAGCCCCGTAAATTTTACCTCAGTGAATTCTGATGTAAGGTCTTCCGAAAACCTCGTCTTCGTCGCTCTTGTAATGCCTGGTAGTCAAACAAGGCTCAGTTTTAGAGATAAGACTCCCTTGCCATGTGAAAAACAACCGATGTACGTATTTTTGATACAATAACTAAAATAAAACGACAGAATAAATTTAGTATACAAGGCTATTGACAAGAAAGAGGCTAAGGTGTACAACGTTTGGTGTACAGTAATCATTTCTTCCTAAGCTTAAATATATGTTTTTTCCTAAACAACAAACATGGTGAGATTCCTAAGTGATACTTCTTGGTAGTTTTTTTTAATCAATTTTGCTTCGTTTTTCATTTATAATTTAAGTTGGTTTATATGGACGATACACAAAGAAACTTAAAAAGGGTTACGGTTTTTAAGAGGACGTGTGAATTTTCATGTTAAATTCCAACTGTTAGCAGTTTTGTCGCGTTAGATTGACTATTGTCTCAAAATAATAAACAGGATTCTCTGGTTACATAGTGAGCATTGTGGCATTTTGTATTCATATGAGGGTTAATTGAGGTGTAATGTTCCCTTAGTTAATGCATAATACGACTGGTCTAGTTTTTCACTTGTCCTTGTTGTTTTTTCTTAATTAGGAAAACCTCCTACGACTTGCATATTGTCAAGCCATAATTACTTGAGGAGGAAATTAAAAGCCTCAAAGTTGACTTGAAAATTGAATATGTATTTAATACCTTTCGTAATTGAATTTGATATTAGTTGTTCTTTTGCTAACAGAAGACAGTTTTATAAGAAGTACCGAAAGATATCTTGTTATTAAAGCGCCTCATTTTGAGGAAACTCATTCCATTGTTTTGTAGAGTTGAGATAAGGGTAGTCTATTGTGAAACATTTTCCGCTAAAAGCCTTTTTGACTCGCCGATTATGTAATTTAACTATTAATTTAATGTCATGCGAAAAAGCTGAAAAGCTCCCAATTTCATAGTGAAAAGGACAACCATGAATCCATGATGGCCGATCATGTCACCGTTATTTTTGGCCTCCCTAATATTTTTTCTTCTCAATTCATTTACCTTGTGACTGACACTTTATGCAGTGATGAAAAGTGTCGTTTCGTTGTGCGACGGACTTACTAACTGCTACCTTTTCTGTTGTGAGATTTTTTTAACGTAGCTGGTGTTTATGCAATCTTTTAATATCTATAACAGCACTATAAAATGGTCTTTAAGCATGTTATCGGCTAAGTAAACAGTATAGTCCTAAAAATTCTAATTAATATCGTAGTGCCTGTGAATGTGTTTACGACATTTTGGTGCCTTTTAGCCATGCTGAGAAAAACCAGAAATTTGGTAAGGTAAACTTCCTTTGTTAGTGTCGATTGTCCATCTTCCCATTATTAGAGGGAAGGATTCTATGTTTACAAGTTGCTAGAAATGCATATGGTTCATTCTGCTCGTTGAGACGGAAAATCTTCTTGTCTCTTGTCATAGTTTTTACTCTTCTATCTTGGAGACGTTGATTGAAGTTTTTATTACACTTGCGAAGTTGTACTCGTGCTTGGAAACGAATCAATACGTTGTCCGAACTACGTGATTGAGACAAAGGTGTTGAAATATGATCGTCGTTATTTTTTCGTAGCAGATACGCCATAAAGAAAGTAGCCGCAAATTACCATAACAATAATATGGATGCTCAGTGATTGATGTATTAAACACGTGAACATTTATCAGGATGTGCGGATTAAAGATAAAAATCGACAGGCCTGCTTGGTCGATTTGTATGATATTACACAATTAGAGCTTGTTTTGTTTACCCGAAGCACTCAAATAATTGAACTCTTCTCGTACAGTTTCACTTAAATTCGTAGAGAGGCTTGTAAAATGGCCGGCTTTCGTGTGCCCTTTACCCAAATTCCAGCGTTGCCTCGTTTGGACTTTCTGCAGCCCTCAGACTCGTACGTGGTCGGATCAACTATGCCGTCGAGCTCGTGCACCTTAGGCTTCCGTGGGGCGCCGCCCCACAGCTTTTTCAAAGGTTCCCCTTGCGCTTCAGCTATGAGAGATAGTGACCAAATCGTTCACACCATGCCTCAAAGAGATTCTGGCGAGTTGGAAACCAATATTATACCAATATCTTGCTACGAAGGAGCTTTCTTCACGGGCAGTACATTATCGTCCACAGTCCAGCATGGAATGCCTCCTCAAGCCTGGGATAACTCCCATCAAGACTTTCAAAGTGCCCAGCTAACCTTTCCCAGAAAAGAATACGATGGAAGCAACTTGAATTTTCAGAGTTTTGCTGCGAGTTACAATGCAACGCCAGGGTTGGGAATTTCTGTGGATCCACCCATCACCTATAGCCTGGCTCTGCCTGCGCCTCATAACCCACTAAAGTGCTGCTGGGTAGTTCAGCATCATGATAAAGAGCTTAGTTCTGTGTGCGATCAAGTGTTTGGCACCATAGACCACTTGGTAGGCCATGTCACTGAGCTTCATATTTACAACAGCACCTCACTGCGATACGTATGCCGTTGGAAGGACTGTTCCAGGAATGGGCTTCCATTCAAGGAACGCTACAGGCTAGTGAACCATCTGCGAGTTCATACTGGGGAGAAGCCTTTTATGTGCATGTATCTTGGATGTGGTAGGCGATTTTCACGTGCGGAGAATCTGAAAATACACAAGAGGACGCATACTGGAGAGAAGCCATTTCTATGCACTTTTCCCGACTGTGGACGCCGTTTTGGCAACTCAAGTGACAGGAAGAAGCACTCGCATGTGCATACCTCAGACAGACCTTTCTTGTGTCGATTGAAGGAGTGTAAGAAGCGCTTCAGTGAGGTTAATTCGCTAAGGAAACATATGAAGTTACACGAAGAGAGAGGCGATGTCTTCTAAGAGACGACCCCTGTAAATTAATAACTCATAGTCGATGAAAAAAAAAAATTTTTATCTTTTTTTGGTCAAAAGCACTCTCGTTGTGTTGTATCTGTTGAGTATAGTGCAGAAGGTTTGTTTTCAAAGGTATTAGAGCTATATGAGGTCACGTTTCTTTGTCTTGCAAAGGAGATTTTAGTGATCCATGTTATCACGCTTTTGTTAAATCATGGGCATAAAGTGATTAAAATTAACAAAAATAAAAACAGTTGAAGACAGCTAAAAAGTTGTGCGTATAGTATCATTCTAATTATATCCCTCTGTTTTTTCCTACACACGTGTAACTGTAAGAGATGCAGCCTGCAGCTTATCATAGAGATAAAGAAATTGATAATCCTCCTTTGTAGTAGCTACGTAGTAGTTTACGTTAGGCATGAATCGTGGACTGTATGGCTTGTCAAACCAATTTTAGGGTTGCCTTTTTGAAGTTTTATTTTTCAAATTTGCCATTTTTTTGGGCTTTTCTGATCTGTTTTTGAACTCTTGAAACAGCTGAACTTTGTCAAACATTGGTGCCCCGGATTATGGTCCTCTTTGCACCCTAAAATTTAAAATGATAACTTTGTTATCAAACAAAACTGTGGCTGGACGACGAAGGAAAACATAAAGGTGATAAAGTATTAGGCTGTCCTTTCATGCGAACTGTTCCTAAGGGAGATGTTGAAGAGGCTGTTGTGTTACCCTGTAGGTGGCGCCTTTTCGGCGACACTGAATCAATGGACTGTGGGGATAAAGAAAGTGAAAAGAAAGATGGAAACTTAAACAGAAAGGTCGTAGAAGTCATTTGTAATGAAAGTTTTTAAAATTTAATAGTGTGATCTTTGAGAGTTGTCCAACTCTTGGGTGCATCCATCCTGGATTATGCCAAGTAAACTAGTAAGTGCTCCTTTCTCGCGTTAGCATAGAATCATTGTTTTTTTGACAACTGACAATGTCGAACACCTGCTGTATGCTATAATACTGTCAATTATGGTGTTTTTCTCGTAGCACGATCCAAAATTTTGCCCGTATTAATTTTCCTTTGTACGAGGGCAATGGTTCATACTTTTGAGTTCGGAGGTCGTCCTTTGGGTCCGTAATTTATTTTAACCAGACACATTTCAGGTTATCTTGTGATAATTACAGAACAGGTAATCCTATCTACGTCTTTTATTTTATGAGACATTTAAATGGGCTGATTAAATACCTCCAAGATCAGAGCGATAGTCATCTCGTGACGAAAGCACTCTTTATGGGAATATTAATGGACCTTAGACAAACCAATACAAGATTTAAATATTAATTCGAGACTTCAAGACAAAGAGCCGTTATGAGTCTTCTGCTGTAAATCAGCTCTTAGAAAGAAACGTCCCAATGGGAGTACTTTGACTTTGGTAGTAGATGGAATAGTGGAAGTCGTGATTTGTGGAAAGGAAAATTTAAATATAATAATGTACATAGCTGAAATTTAGATCGGAGGGTAGGTACAAAGTATGCAAAAACAGTCAGCAAACTTCTTCCGTGTTGCCTTTCTAAAACTAGACATCGAGAGCAAAATTATGCAGATTGAAGTTGAGATTCTTATCTGAAAACCACGCAAATTACATATTATTTAAAACGTAAAGAAATTTCATGGGTGTTATTCGTCTGCGTTTGAATGCCGATCCTGCTGTCATAACAACATCGCCTTGTCTCCATCGTCTCTTAGTTTCGCCTAACTTTCATGCCTATCGTGAAAAAACTCAAGATCTCAATCTGCTTCGCACATTTATTCGATGAAAACATTTTAACATTCTACCCTCTCCTCCCTAGAAGATGGGAAAAATTTAATTGGCTGAGTTTTTGGAATGGATTGTTGCTCTTAGGTAAAGAGGAATTTTTTTCGGCAGAAAGAGGAATGACTTCCCCAATTGCAGCTGCAGTTTGTGGTGTTTATGTGGTGTGTGTGTGCTTGTGGCGGTGATGGTGGATATAAGGTTTTGGAAATGTGGGCGATAAGGATGGAAGGGGTGGTTGAATGAAATTAGCACGATGAGTCGTAAACAAGTGCTGGTCATAGGGGACAGTAGCCAGGTAAGGGAAGAATGGGAAATGGTGCAAGGATCAATTTAGAAACGGTTATAAAAGCAGCACTCGCATTAAGTCGGGAATGAAAAGAGTCAGAAAAATTTATCATGAATACCTATCCAACATCGAAGGGGCTTATTTAGACTTGCTCAAGTGAAGGATACACGATGATGGAATCAAGGCTTTTCGAGTGCGCAGATTGCCAGCCTTTAGAGTCAACGAGTCAAACCTGTTAGATTCTACTATTCACCTCTTTTAATTCAGTATACGTTATATGAGCAGTCTAGAGGTCTATTGGGATAACTGAAGACTTCTCATATCCAACATGACGATCAATAATCATTACGCTTGAGTGAGCTAAAAGTTCAGTCGTAGGCCATAATTTCATCACATCATCCACTTCCCGCCTCATTTGAGTTGTCAACTATAAAGAAAAAAATTTATGTCAAGAACTAAGTATGGCGGGAATAAAGTCACACACTCGCTGTGCAAGGATAATGTTTAGCATTTTTTTATCGATTTTTATGTCATGGGTTTTTATTTATGCAAATTAAATTGATTTTGGACAACTACATACACCTTCTTTAGGTGGTAAACAGCTTTGGCATTGATGAGAACGAAAAAAAATAAAAGTATGTAACTATAAGAAGCTATCGTTTCCCACATGTCTTTCATCTGAATGCTTTTATCTAAACGCTTGTACTGAAAGCCGCTAAACTGAAGATCTACATAACATTAGCCATTACCAATTACATAAACGGCATTGGAGTTATCTGTTCCTGTGCAAAATGGATCATCGTGTTTGCAATCTTTGAAACATTGGTTCTTGCATTCGCCTACATTGGCCACCATCTGAAGAAGAAAGGTGTCAGATGTGGTATTACCGCTCCAGCATTCCCCTGCATGAAAGAAAATTAAAATCCAGCATAAGAATCAAGCTTTCAATTTTAATCATAAATGATAACCTTAGGTGTTGCTGTGGATTGTTTAACTACGGTCAGATGTGCTAATTCCACAATTCCCACCTTGACGGTAATTAGAAGGAGAGTACTCAAAAGGGAATTATAGAAACGCCAATACTAAATTCCAACCCCAGTTTCTGATGCCAAAGATCTTCCATCCGTATCCTTTTTGCTTGATTCTTTGTGCACAGCGGCAAACAAAGTTCGGCAAATGCTTATACCAGTTAGGCCAGTCTATGCGTATCCCGCTCCAGGTCTTTTGCACCTTGGGGTCTCTGTCATTGAGGACGTACTCAGGTAGGAAGGGTTGACTTTGGAATCTCATTCTGTAACAACCGAGTTTCTCGATATGAATGTCACACATGTCTGTTGAAAGAGATCGCTGATAAGTAAATTACAAAATATGGGTCGTTAACGGGGTTTTTGTTTGAATTTGGTCGCATTAGCATGCCATTTAGCCCATAGAGGGCTTTGCGGTATACCAGATTTCAAATTTGGCTATTGCCAATGGAAGAATTGTATTTTCAGTTAAGACTATTTCTTTGAAATAGAACATGTGCTAATATTGTAATCAAACTTTCTTGAACCTGACTGAGTTTTGTCGAAACGTGCCGACCCTATGTTATTTTAAATCCAGCGGGAATGGAGGGGAGGGGAGGGGGGGGAATGGGGGGAGGGTCCCCATACTCGCTAAGGTATGATTTTATTCACTAAAACTAGTGCTGACCACATTCACCTTTTGGCCGATTGCCTTTTATTACTCTGTACCAAGTGTTGTTCTGAGTTATTAATTAGGAAAAAGAACAAATTGGTACACGTGCTCCCTTGCATGAAGTAACAGTTTTCCTTTCTAGAGATGAGAAAGAAAATCGTCTGTTTTTGTGCGGGCGCGCTTCACCTACACACAAGTTGTGTGTGGTAACTATGAATAAAACAACAGTAGAGAATGACCACAAGATACGGGGTTGTTCTCACCAACAATATGGTAGACCATCATTCTGTGGCGAATTCCACTGCAGTACTTCGTGTTGCTACAAGGTTGAAACTGACCATCCACGCAGTCGCTTGGCTCTGCTAGTTCCCTGGAGATCCATCCTTTCTGTCTCAGGACTGACAGTTTATCCGCCCAACACTCACCTTTAATAGTAAGATATACTATCTTTGTGTATCAATGCAATGAACTCGATCCATGACACTAATTGAACTCTATTAGTTTTCATACTAATTAAGGTGACTTCCTAATATCATAATCATAATCTCTAAGTATGTGAAATTCGCATATACGGGTGTAAAGCTTTCGTATAGAATGCAGCACAAATGCTGTTGATGCGAAGGTATGGAAGCAAAGAATTCCTTACCATAAAATTGGATACCGAAAACGTCGAATCCAAGAAGTTTGGCTTCATTCGCGCAGCGGCAGATGAATTCTGGTAAGTAGTTTTGCCAATTTGTCCACTCGATTGATTTTCCTCGATAGTTGCTTAATGTTGGGTCTCTCTCGTTTAAGATATAATTTTGAAGCAGGCGTTGATCAGTGCGATCTTTGTAACATCTCGCCGGTTCGAATGAGGTGTCACAGTGACACGGGTCGACATTAGCTAGGAATAAATTGATCATTGATAGGTCAATAAGTTGATTGCAATGCGTGGCATAGTAGCTCAGTTAGTAATAGCGCCCAACTTGGAAGGCCTGGGTTCGAATCCCTTCGAAGGCTGAATTTTTCTTCAGATTTCTTTTGTGCAATTGCTTCCAGCTCACCGGCGAGGTTCATTGCTTTTCTTTATTTTATTCCGCAGGTCCGAAATAAAATTTGTTTCATTACAAACTGTATCATAATTTCTTTTTTCCACAATGCCGGACAACGAGCAATGGAAAGTTTTTCTTACCTCTTACCAACGTGAGGGTAACTGCCAATACCAAGACTAACACGAAATTTTCCATTTTCGTCTGGTAGTGCCAGAAAGTCTCTATGTTAGAAAAGGTAAAACTTTAGTCCAAGGAATATTTGCGTGGAAGTCAAAATGCTCCCATACCATCTTGATATTTATAGGAATCATGAAGCTTAATACACAAGAAAAAAATATTCCGGGTTTTCCACGCCTTTCGTGGAGTACCTCGCTATTTTAGCACTTAGTAAATGTAAAAAATATTACTTTAACGTCACTCCTGGGAGTGAATGAGGTACAGAGACCAAATCCGCGTTATTTTCATAAGATCAAACATGGACATGGATTGTAAAAGAAACGTTCTTTTACGTAAGGAAATAATTCTATCTGTTTAGGAAAGACGTTGGCTGATCATTATCGTGATCTAGGGAAGAGTTTCATCCATTTCCTCTGTCCCTCAAAACAAAAACAAAAAATTTTGAAATGCACCAATGCCTTAAATAGATTTGACGTACGTATACTTTTCCGTGATCACTCTGGACTGCTAACGTTTCCGTGATCTATCTCAGTCTGAAAAAATATAATTCATTTACAATTGTATATGGGAAAATTTCAGAATAAGTGCAGAGATTGTAAATGTAATTAAAATGTAAATTATAATACAACAGAAAGCAGGGAGTCAATTTCTACTCACCGAGCAAGGTCTCAAACACACTGTTGGTAAAGAACCCAGCCGCTTTTGGAAATTCGCCAGTAGCTGTTCAAGTTTGATCTCTGTTTGTACTCTATAGTGACAAATTTATTCTTTAGTATGGCTTGACTTGTCAATTACATTTATTTCTAACAGTTTTGAAAGGAACACTGAGGGCTGAATAGATTCAAGCACAGCTAGAGCAATATGTTTCTTTGTAGAATTTCCCATGTCTGATTGTTTCTGACCTCACTGATAAATGCAAAATTTAATCAAGGGAACACTCGTGCAAGTTGAGCAATAAGAAAAACTCGGTTAATTTGATTAACATATGTTTGTCAGATGGAATTGATGAAAATAAATTCAAAATGAATTTACAGTATCAGCTATGAACTTAGAGGACATGCATATAGGAAACAATTTCAGGAAATTTTTATCCTCGACCCCACGTCGTCGCGAATGTAAACCGTTCAGTGTAATTGTGACTGAATAGGGTTGCAATTCATAATGAACTTCTTACAAAATAGATTTATAAATATCAAGAAATAACTCATCAATATTTTGTCAGGAAAAAAAGAGCACACGTGCGGAAACGAGAACCTCTTTGTTTTGTGAGTGATTGACCTTGTTAAATCATTGTCCATTAACCCTGTAACCCCTAAGAGTGACTAGTATCTAATTTCTCCTTACAATATCATCCCTGAATCACACTTTAATGTTATGAGAATAAAGGAAATGATCAACTAAAGAAACTCTTGATTGTTAAACAAATTCTCCTTGTGAACAGAGAACAGTATGGAGAATATGAATGCTGATGTTAGGGTGTTAAGGGTTAAATTGTTCACCTCTCATCTAATCACATCAATCATTTATTTAATCAGAAATGTGTTCCTGTGCATGTGCAAAACTCTTAGAGTCCCATGGGACGTATATTACGTCGTTTGCATTCCTAGTAGCAAAACCTTTCTCATGTTAAGATGCGTTGAGCGCGTTTATTTGTCTCTTTTTTTTTATCTATACAAGTAAATGAAGTAGAATGAAACCTTGTTTTACTTTCCAAGCCGTTGTTATGTTATCCCATGCAGTCAAAGGGGCTTCCAATTCATTTAGTTTTCCTACCTAAAAGCAAAACGTGACTTCCCTTGGAACAGAGACTTCTAAACGTAAGTTGGATTAATTCTGGGTAACAAGTTGTGCCGGTTTTGACAAAAAATTTCGTACGGATTGTTTTATGTTGGTATATATATATATTTAACACAAGCAAAATAGAGACCACCAGAGAAGATTTTTTTTTGGATTTATTTTTTTGTCATCTAGTTTCTTTTTCACTGAATTAAATATGTTTTCGTTGTCGTTCAATCCCTCTTAGTTTGTTGGGTTCCTTGATTCCTGCGAATAACTACCCCAGAATGTTGACCTTGTCCGGCATAGCGCTTCCTTCATCGATGCGTTGTTCCGCTACGGGACAAACAATACAGTATCAAAGTTTATGAATGATAAGAAAGGATGCACAGCTTTAATTTGTAAAGTGTATTCAGTTAAAAGATGGTCCGAGACGATAAGTTGAGACATTTTAGATACCCTCTACCCTCTCACTTGGATATTTGCTTCACAGGAATTATGGTCATAAATAATGTTGATTTGACCCTTAAGTAGGGTTTTAGTTCAAAATGTCCGATCAACATACCTGTCCCTCTCATACAAGAGTTTTTTCCCTTTTCATATCAATACGTGAAAGTTTTTATGCAGGCCGCAATGTGACGAAAAGAAAATCCTAGTTTTGAAGCAAAAACGAATTCTCACAGTTAGGTTACTCGTCAATTCATGTTTTACTTACTGATAGCATATACAGCATTGGTAAAGTTCTTTCCTGCACAAAATCTGGTCGAGCAGGCGCAGTCATTAAAGCACTGGTCTTCGCATCTACCAGGCTGAGCATGCCCTTCAATATAGAACACTGAGTCATCAGGGCCGCTCCAGCATTCACCTGAGTTAAGGACACAAAATATATGAAAGAAGTGACTCATGAGCAGTTATTTAAATGAAAAAAGGCAGAACTTTATTTATTTTTCTCATCACTGCATTCATGAAAGTGTGTGGAACGAACTCTCTTTTTCGTTAGTTCTGCAGCCTCCCCTCAGTTGACGTGAGCACTCTTAAGATGACATACTGCCTATTAAAGTTAAGTAAATGCACGAAGAGTGATCAAGAATCGTGAGTGCATTCGAATAAGTACAAGCTGATGATATTATGGCTGTTGCAATGTGTGATTTTTGAAGATTAGCATTTAGGGGAATTGTATTTGCTTAATACAGAAGCCGCGCTTTTCTTTCTTCTGTTTTAATGAAACATAAGCTGTGGAAATTGGTGTTCCTTAAACTACTGTATGAAGGCCACATGCTCAAAATAAGGTACCTACGCAATTTGTAAAGTTGTTGGACTAACTCAGCAAGATTTTTCTTGTGGCTAAGTTTATAATGGGATCATTCAGTTGATTTATAAGAGAACAACAGGACCTCAATTCTCTGCGTCCGGCGACCCTCTACAAGTGAGGAAACATATTGAATAAATATCTCACCCCAAAACTGAATTCCAAACAATTTCCAGCCTTTTTCCTTCGTTTTCTTTGCGCAGCGGCAAACAAGATCAGGGAGATACTCGTACCAGTTTTTCCAGTCAATCAGGTGACCGCTGAAGTTGGGCAAGTTCTCATCTCTGTCATTTAACAGGTATGATGGCAGGAGGCGTGGGGCTTCTTTGTTATCATGAAAGCAGCCGATTCGCTCAAAACGAACACTGCATAAATCTAAATCAATCCGTTTCACAATGTGTGTTAATAGGCTTATACAAAACTACAGAAGAACACCAGAAAAACTTCACGCCGTACAAATGAAGCCACCTCACTTTTCTGAGCTTTTAATGGTTCACTTCATTGAAACATTATATTATTTTACAAAACTACCTTATCTACTGAGTTGTGACGCCATGCTGACAAATTGCAATTCCCCCCACTCAAAGGCATCACACTGAAATCCTTGAATTCTTTTCCTTTCCATTTCATACTACTCCAATTCACTCCTCTCTACACGAATTCACAAATATTACTATCAGGAATCAGTTCCTTTACGCTAGCACCTCTGATGCCACAGAAATTCGCTACCCTACGCCTGCAACTACCCCATTTACTTCGATGCAATGAAACCCATTTTGACCCATTGTAGTCGACTCAATTTTACTCTATCATTACTAAATCTTCTCCTACAATTCCATCCTCTTTCTCTGTGTTTAGTTCCTTCCATTCCATACTCTGCTGACTCTGTTCCTATTCCCTTATATCCGCTACGTCACACAAACCACACCAGGTATACTTTACTGCATATGGATGCAATGTTTTGCACTTGTCCCCACACCCATTTCATTTTCTCCCATTCCATTTTTTTCTTCATTTCTTTCCACTCCTTTCACTGTTCTTCACTAATCACTGCTCGCCCTCATTCACTTGTATCCGAGTCAACTACTGAAAACTTTCAGATGTGTTGCATTCACTTTACATCTTTGACTTAATTCCATTGAACTTAAACCTTCACTACCCTTACTATTACCACTATTCCTACTCTTAGTACTCTCACAATATTCTACTGTACCCAATATGATTTATGATTGATGCCTACCGACAATCTTGTACACCATGTTACGCCATTCCTTCCCTACACAAAACTTTCTCCCATTGCAGTCGTTCATGTCCGTCCCAACGCAATCTTTGCACTGTCCCGGGCCATACCTGTTATATTGATCCGACGAGCTGCTTCCAGCGTAACATTCACCTATAGGTAGGTCATGTAACATTACCTAATAAGATATCAATACCGAGGGATACTATCTATACAAATTCAAAGCATGCTAAGAGCCAGTATGTAAATCATATCAGAGCTCATCCTGGTCTCAGTAGTATGGTGAAGCCGCTTCGACTAACTACCCCTAATACTTACCAAAGTGCTGCATTCCAAACAGGTCATAACCCAGATCTTTTGCTTTCTTGGCACAGCGGCAGATGAACCCTGGTAGATAGTTTTCCCAGTCATTCCAGTCGATCTTTTGCCCGCCATAATTGGCTATGGAGTCGTCGCGCTCATTATAGATATAATGAGGAAGAGCACGTGCGTGGCTTTTGTCTTTGAAGCATCCCAATGGTTTAAAAGACACTTGACAGTCTTTTGGATCCTGGCAAAGATTAGACGCTGCACATTGCCGCGTCACGAGTAAAAGATGGGGTGAAGCACATTTTTAAGATTAAAGAATGCAGAAAGTAATACTAGAATGCGTTGGTTTTATTTACCTTAGCTACCTAATTAGTGTAGGAAGCCTGCACCACTCCCTCAATCAATCAAATACCGGTCGAGGCGGCGATACCAAAGTGAAACTATTGCGGAATTCTTTCGGCAGTTAATTGAGAATTGCCCGATAATGCCACCTCTGGAGTGGCGTAGAACCCACTTCCCGAGATATTGGTGAGAGGCGAGCGTTCTCAATACCATAACCTTCCCTCCTTCCTGCTTACCCCACCCCCCCCCCTCCCCTCTTTGTAAAGGAAGCAGAGGAATGGAATCAATGATAGCCACTAACAGGCTCGAAAGAGTCTTGCGTCCGCTTAGTTGACTGTAAAGCAAAGGAAAATCATTTATATTAATTAGTTCATGATATGTCTCTGAAATACGTTCTCGCATTATAATTTCTCTTTGCTTAAGTTCCCGACATTATTTTTCGACTAGAAATGCACTTTGAAAATCCTGTAACAATTTTGTTTCCCCAAAGAAGTTTTCCATTTTTCGCAAGACTGGTTTCAAAGGGGGGCAAGTTTTTCTTACCTTTTATCAGCGTTAGAGAAATCGCCAGTATGAAGACTAACGCAGAATTTACCATTTTCCTCTCGTAACACTAGAAAAAAGTCAAAGATTGTAGCCGAATGAATGCATATATTCGTAGAACATGTACCAACCGCTTTACAACAAACTGACTCTAAAACAATTTAATTGTGTGCTATATACTTTTTCCTTGTGTCATTTCTCTAATAAAATCTGACAACTGAGAAGCAAGAGGAAAGCTTCAGATCCTTACCTTGAGCCTTCTCACTCCGCAGAAATCTCTGTCTGTTTGTACCCTAGAGAATATTGATACTTATGACAGTTTTGGAGGGAACACCTAGGGTATAATGAATTTAAACACAGCAGGAGCAATATGTTTTTTTGGTAAACTTTCCCATGTTTTATTGTTTCTGACCTCACTGGTAAATGTAAAATTTAATCAAGTGAATATTCGTGTAAGTGGAGCAATAAGGAAAACTTGGTTAATTAGCAAATGTTTGTCAGATGGCATTGATGAAAATGAATTTAATCTTAAGTTGCAGTATCAATTATAACTTAACATTTAAAAGACAGATGGAACAAATTATTTTATTTTCGAAAAAAAAAGAAAAAAAAGCCAAGGAATCTTTGTTTGGCGAATCATTGACTAGCATCAAACTTATCCAACACTTTCCCAATCAAACCAGTCAATCGTTTATTTAAATGAGCTTGTTCGCCCTTGTTTAACCCTAAAATTTTCATGTGAAATAAAATCGCGCCGCTTGCATAAACTGTACTCGTCTTAGCTTCAAATCGGTAAAACAGAAATTATACTTTTTTCTGTTAAGTGAGTCGGATTTAATCGTTTCTTGCCTTTCTTTCCTTTCTTCCAACATTTGTTTGCACCTTTGATAGCATTCTCTTTCGTCATTATGGTAAATGAACTAATCATGAAATATTTATGAATAAATAGAGTAAGTTTCCGAAGAAACTGGTGTTGCGTGTGTGAGACTGTTACAAGATAATTTTGTTTATCATCCGAATTTATAATGTGACGTTTCGAGCGTTAGCCTTTCGTCATCACGATGGGCGAACAAACGACTAACGCTCGAAACTACAGCTAAAGAAACTCTTTAAGGTGGTCGATTCACATCATCGACTCAGTTGATAATTGTGGAAACCAAATTATCTGATCATGAAACCTCTGACTGCTTTCTACTTCTATTCCTCGAGCCATTGTTGTTAGCTTTTCATGATTAGAAGCAGACCTTATCGAGATCGAGGTAAACTGCTGGTAGTAAATCCTTTACATGGTGAAGCTTGCTAAATGTCTGGTATTCAATCACGATTCGTGTATCTTATGATTTGTCTCACACTTTTTATCCATACTAGTGAATGAAGTAGAATAATATTCTTTTGAAGGAAGTGATCATAAAAGGTTAGAAAAGACACAATAGAAATTTCTGGTGCCTTCTAGTTTTATTATCAAGCCATTGTTACTGGATATTATCTGGATGTCACCCCTTTCTCAGTCGTTCTGTTTTCCTACCTAAAAAACAGTAAGTAACTACACTTGAAGCAGAGTCGCCTTCGGTAATACGGGACTGAAATATTGGTTTAATTATATGAATCAACTTGTGCTGGTTTTACAGAACATTTCGCCGAGATTGCTTCATATTGGCATACATAACACAAGTAGAACGCAGACTACCAGTTAATGTTTCTTAGATTTTATTTTTCACTGAGTATTCTTATTTATCCTACGTTTCGTGTTCACTGAGTTTCATTTAATCTACAATTCTTGTTCAATCCTTCTGAGTTGGTTGGGTTCTTTGGTCTCTGCGATAAGCTACCCCCAAACGTAGCCACCCAAAGCCATAGCGCTTCCTTCATCAATGTGTTCCGCTATGAGACAAACGATAAATTTCCAAAGTATATGAATGATAAGACAGGATGCCATGCATTAGTACGAGAGTTTCCCCCAGCCCAGATCATTACCAAGCAAATGTTAAGCAGTAAGCCACGAGACGAGAACAACAACGAAAACTATCAACTACATAATGTTGTTTTAACATAGTATCAAATGTACAGTGGTAAAATTCTCGGGAATCATTGATAAGTTTTATGATGCAGTTTCGTGCAACAGAAACAATCCTGACTCCCGATATATAAGAGTAACAAAAGAAGTGCTATACACTTTTGAATTGGTAATTGAGTAATTGAGGTTATGAAGTGAGGAAACAAGGTTTTTAACCAAGCAGGTCAAAAGTGATCGGACTCCCTGAGTGGCATCAGAAACTGTCAGCCTTGTTATACTCACTGATGGCATATACAGCATTGGTAAATGTCTTTCCTGCACAAAATCTTTTCGAGCAGGCGCAGTCATTAGAGCACTGGTCTGCACATCCACTAGGTTGAGCATGCCCTTCAACATAGAACGCTGAATCATCAGGACCACCCCAGCATTCACCTGGGTATAGGTAATAAAATAACAAAACTGATCAAAGCATCACTGACCAAGAACAGTTGTCAATCGAATTCATAGAAAGGGGGCGCTTCACGTATTTGCACAATTCTTCATTAAGACCACAGCATTTTCACAGTTTCGTGATGGAATACACCACGAAATTATTTTTCTGGCTTTAAAGCCTTCTTTCGATCTACGTGAACACCTTCAGTGATATCATGATATGGCAAATTTAATTCGAATGAACTGCTTAAAGATTGATTATGAATTGTTGGCGCGAACGAATAAGTAAACTGTGGTTGTCATGATTTCAAATTTGTAATCTGTGATTGCTAAGAAATAGCATCATGAGGAAGTGAACTTGTGTCTTTTAGGTGCTGCAGTCGTCTATCTTCGTTTCCCAAGAAAATCATGCGCTTTCCGAAGTATTGTTCTTCGTTTTTATGAAGGACGCAAGCGCAAATGAAGGTACTAAGATAACATTTAAATTTGTTGCATTGCTTTGCCAGTATTTTCTTTGTAGCTGAGTGACACAAGGGCCTTAGTCCCAATGCCCACGACAACTGGATAAACAGGTTGAATAATTATCTCACCCCAAAACTGAATTCCAAACAGTTTCCAGCCTTTTTCCTTCGCCTTCTCTGCGCAGCGGCAAGCAAGATCAGGAAGATACTCGTACCAGTTTTCCCAGTCAATCAGCTGACCGCTGAAGTTGGGCAAATTCTCATCTCTGTCATTTAACAAGTATGATGGCAGGAGGCGTGGAGCTTCTTTGTTATCATGAAAGCAGCCGATTCGCTCAAAGCGGACACTGCATAAATCTGAATAAATGGTTTAACAATTGGTTTGTTAAGTACCTGTGCAACAATGTACAAGAGTACCTAAAACTATACACCTTTGAAATGAAAGCGGCGTCGCCTGAATCTCACGCCATTTTGAGCGTAAAGCGGATTCACCGCTCAAAAAACTGAATCCATTATATCCGAAATAAAATCTACCTCGTTCGCTGCGCTGTATTGCAATGCCACATGTTGCAATTTCCCATACTGGGCTGCATCACACTTAGACCCAAGTCATCAATTTTACCAGAATCTACTTTCCTCGTTTACTGCTCTGCATTGCAATGCCTCAAGTTGGAGTCCTTCTCATTGTAAAGCACCTCACAGAAAAAAATCCTTGGATTCCTTTCCCTTCTGTTCCGTTCTACCCCTCTTTACTCTACTCAACACGAACTCTCCACTCTTACCATACCTACTGCACTGTACAACAGAGCAATACTCTGCCACTGATTGATTCCTTTTCACTTTTCGCTATGAACGCAACAACTCATTCCCCTTTACTCGCACTTACCCAATTCACTTCGATGCAATCTAACCCACTGCAGTCGATTCAATTCCACTCTAACAGTCTAATACACCTAAATTTATTCAATGCCTTATTCTTCCTCTGTATTGATTTACGCGCACGTGACACTACTGACTGTCAAATCTACTCCATTTTAGAAACTACACTCAGAGTGCTCTATGGCGTATGAATGGACTTATTTGCACTGGTCCCCAATCCCCATTCCAGTACATCCCAATCCGGCATTCCACTCCTCTAACTATTCTCCACCAATCAGCGCTCAGTCAACTTCATTAAACTGTATCCGGGACAACTAAACTTTCAGACGTGCTTCGTCTCTTAATAGTCTCACACTATTCTACTGTACCCTGTATGATTGATGCCTACCGACAATCTTGTACACCATGTTACGCCATTCCTTCCCTGCACAAAACTTTCTCCCATTGCAGTCGTTCATGTCCGTCCCAACGCAATCTTTGCACCGTCCTGGGCCATAACTGTCATATTTATCCGACGAGCTGCTTCCAGCGTAACATTCACCTATTAGCAGAGAATGTACCATACCTCAATTAGATATTGATATCGAGTTGGAGCCCATCAACCTACCCAGCTGAATAAACTGATGCAATGACTCTTTTACGATTTCTGCCAGGGAATCGTGCACTCACATCGTTATAGTTCCAAGTATTAGCTACAGATTTAGTCTACTGTCGATCGTTGCCTTGATCGCTGATGCATAGTTATCTCTCATGCAATAATACCTGGCTTTTTTTATGTCTAATACGGCGTAATCATTTTGAGCTTCGGGACCGGGCAACTTTTATCGCTTGGGGGAGGGGGTTGGGAGAATTTTGGTTGTGTCACGATAAAATTCGGCAAAATGCAAAATGTCTGCAAAATGTCACTCTAATCAATATTATGGCTGAAAATGCACACACGTCCGGAACAGTTTACGATCCTGCAACTTCTTCACCCTTCAATCAAATATCAAAGATTGGTTTCGACATCACCTCTGTCCAGTTTTCTTTGCTATTCCAATTTGTTGGTAACTTCAAACGGGTTACTCGAGATGGATGTTTATATGAATAACACTTACCAAAGAACTGCACTCCAAACAAGTCATAACCCAGATCTTTTGCTTTCTTGGCACAGCGGCAGACGAACCCTGGCAGATAGTTTTCCCAGTCATTCCAGTCGATCTTTTGCCCGCCATAATTGGCTATGGAGTCGTCGCGTTCATTATAGATGTAATGAGGTAGAGCTCGTTCGTGGCTTTTGTCTTTGAAGCATCCCAGTGGTTTAAAGGAAGCCTGACAGTCTTTTGAGTCCTGGCAAAGATCAGACGCTGCACATTGCCGCGCCCGGAGAAAAAGGTAAAGTGAAATACATAATCATAATTAAAGAAAGCTGTAAGAGCAATTCTCAATTGAGCGTTGAAAGTAATGCTGAAGTGCATTGGTTTTGCTTAGTACTTTTGCACGCTAATCATACACCAGATTGGCGCAGGAAACTCGGGCCACTCTATCAGCTGTTCATATTCAAGGGTAACTGATCGTGAACCAATCGTGACTCGATTATTTGCGTTTTCTCGCTATTCAGGTCGTTTTCGTGTTTTTGCTTTAAGTTCTTAGTGGCTTCTTGTGATATTCCATTTGTTCTGATTGGCCGTCAGGGTAACTTTTGTTTTGGTTTTAAGACACTCTGTCGAAAAATGCTTCATTAGAAAGTTGTATCCATAACTGTTGCCAACTGGTTAAGTTCAAGAAAGGGATAAATACCAATTGCAAATTGATTGAGAAACAAATAGTTATAAACAAGATTAGAAAGAAAATTTTCACTTTCTTACCTGAATGACATGCACTCAGGGTAAAGAGAAGCATCACAATAATCAGAGGATGTTGAACCATCTTAATAGCGAAGGAAATGACAAATGTAAGAAACGTTACAATATTTTAATACCTTTTAAAACTACAATTTATTCGGCTTGTTCAATGGAAGAACGACCAAAGAAAACATTTTCTGTGTTACTTTGTAACATTTGAGTCTTTCACTTAATTTTATATCAATCAGTTTTAAAAATAAGAATAAGCGTAAAATAAGAGAACTATCAAAGAATGTAAGTTTTACCACTTTAAAATGAATAAGGGAATGTTTAGATTCATTGACTAAACGTTTATTTGCTGGTCAGCTTTCTGTCATTACCTTACTGACAACTCTTTCGGATTTTCAATTCTATTCGAGAAAAGGTGTGAACAACGAAACCGAAGGACAACGTCTTACAAGGTACAGTCAGCAGACCGTAGCTAAATTCAAGGTACAGTTAGTATTATCCTTGCTATTTTAAGTTAACATGTTTCTTATGGGTACTTACCTTGTCTTTTTTTCTTTCGAAGTGCTGGTGAACTATGTTTGTGTTCCAAGGTCGATAAGTAGTCAGAATAAGTATCTTTCATGATCAATTCTTTACTTATACTTTCCTGTAGGTAAATATGGCGGTGTTCTTCCCCCGCTTGAAGTTATTTGATTTTAACTGAGATAAGACCATGCTTGATTGTGCCATGAATGTTAGAAGTTGCTACCAATAATATTGCTGATGAAAGTGTAAGCTGAAAATAAAAAGTACTAGATTAAATTAATATGTTCCTTCCGTGGTTATTAGAGTCAACACAGTCTTGCGTGTAAGAGATGTCCATAGATAAGACTAGTTTTGAGGGACGTAGTCAGTGTCATTCGTTTGTCATGCGTGGTAGAGACACCGTGCCTCAATAAACATTACGACTGAAGCTAAGTCGAAACGAGAGTTCGTTGAATTGAACTACGTCTGCGAATCTGAGAATTATTGTTGTCATGTTGCAAGGAAGTATTTTATTAGCGCAGTACTTTTTTCGTCTCGTATGAATTTTTAGCCTTGCTTTGCGTCGGAGACAAATGGAAAATGGACGAGAAAGATGAACACTTTATCACTGAATCATTAAATAACTATCGCAAAACAATATCTTTATCAGTTAAAATAACGCAGTGAAACCATTCATTTGTGCCCGCTGCTGTCAAAAATCTAATCAATCTTTTAACTTGAAAAATGGATTACTAAATAAAATGGTAATTAGGAGTATATAACTCAAAAAATTTACAAAAGTAAAATTTGATCATTATAATAATAATTTGTTTTTAACACGCACGTTTTCTTTGCGCGGTTCAATCTCAGTTCCGGAGACTTAAAGTCTCATTTTGGCATTGACGTTTATCGACCGACGTTTTTACTTCATTAAAGCTCGAGTTATCAGGGTAAACGTGACTGAAGGGAAAGTAAAATTAGGTTCAGTTGACTGTGTTCGAGTGAGCTGATAGTAAATGAGTGGAAAAATGATACGGACAAATCCAAGAGAAATCCGATCTTGTTCGAGTTAGCGGGGAATTCGAAAGTTCGAGTTAAGGTTCCTTCCCACCTTCAGAGGCCGAAAAAAACGATTTTTGTTTTATTTGACTACACTGATTTCAAACATTCAACCTAACGTTTCCATAAAAGAAAAATTTTCTGAAATCTTTAAAAGCAACTGAGTTATTTAGAAATAAATATTTTCAAATAAAAGTTAATAAATCAGGAAGGCGTCATAATCTCAGACCCGGGCGAATCCCCTGAGGGAATTTTCGCTGCAACCGCTCATGTTGAGGCTCGATTGTCATGTTATTTCCATATTTTGTTTACATCGCGCAATATACAAACACGTGGAAGCTGTTTGCTTATGGATAAATCGTTGCTCGTGGAAAAATAAAGAGCGGGAGAAAGTCCTTTGTATGAATAAAAAAATGATATAAAGAGAAAAAAAAAACAGGCCTAAAGAAGAAAGAAAGAGTACCATTCTGTCAAGAAATGAAAAAAATTCCTTTGTGAAAGCGACTGGTACTGGCGGAGCTCCACGCTGGCGTCAAGATTTCGACCGAAGAAGTCGCTGGCCAAAATTTGCCATAAATAATGTTAAAAATGAGGTTTTCTTTTCTTCATACAAGTACCAGCCTTGATACATAAACATTGACAATCGCCTCGAGTCGTAATTTTGAAAGCTGTCTGTCGATTCGTTGTCTTGCTCCTCAGCACATTTTGCGGTTTTTCCATTTTTTTCCCGCGGGTTTTGCCTTCGGCTTTGGCAACCTTGCTCAATATTGTGTCGTCCTCCTCAACGCTCCTCTGAGCGACCGCGATATAAAAACGTTTCTGCAATGGGTTTCTTTCCCGGGAAATCTTTGATCCATCGTCATTGACGCCAGGAGGCCCCGTTGTCCCGTTGGTTTGCGGTTTCAGGAGGCGAGATTATCTCGAGGCGTGGCGCGAGTTGTTTGCGAACCTTTATGAGCTAAAATCTCGATTGATTTTGGGAGGAATACAACCACTTTGAGCAAATTTATAGGATTTATAGATTTGAGCGATTTTCTTTAAACTTCGCCAAACATTCCAGGAATAATGACAAACGAAATTATGTCGGGAAATTTTGATATTTGAAATATTTGTCCCGCGGTGTCCATTTACGCAACGCGCCTCGCATATCTTTAGCTACTCCAACTTTAGATGCCGATATCTAGACAAGCTATCAGAATATCAAAAAAGCCTCACATCATTTCTTCGATTGATGCCTTGGGAGTAAGACTGTGCAGCCATTTTGCTCGTGCTGCGGCATCCAATACCCAATAAATTCAAAAGAATAACCTTCGGTCGTTTCCCGCCTTGCCGGCTCCTGATACTTCGTTAAAGAAAAGTCGCTTTAATTATATTTTTATTGTAAATTACAGTTATTAACCTTTCTTCTGATGTAAGATTTTAGTGAAACTAGTGCGCGTTCGAATTTTTCCCTTAGGGACACCCGCGAAGGTGGGAAGTAACCTTAACCTGGTACGAGTTAGCGGGTTTCTTCTGTACTACACATCTCGATCCTCGCGTGGCCGTCACACAACGTAACTCGCAACACGCGAGAAATTTTGGAAACATTTCGATGTCGATCATGGTCGATGAAGGTGTAGATTTAAGGGGTTGAAAGGGTGGCAATATGAAGTTTAAGTTCAGTTGTGATTCATGAAATCCTGTTTTATTTAAGGACATAAAACAGAGAGCAATAACAAGGGCTGAGTTAACAATCGACCGGATGTAACTCTAAATCAATATTACCTCAGGAAATTTGAATAATATTGGCCAAACGACTGAGATGTTACAAGGATATTACGCGCCGTTGATGTCAGAACAGACGGCGAGGTAGGATCCATCTGCCGAGAGCAATAGTTTGATACTAGAACAACAAGTGTATTTTTGGTTAATTCCCAATGGATTGTGTTTCTGAAGCAAAACACGTGATGAATTTTGCTCGGTCAACAAACAACTTGACAAGACAATCAAAACTGCCTTTGTACATTTATGTCTTTGTTATGCAAAATATTTTAATCACGAAGGATTAGGGCCAAAATCATAGCGGGATTAAGGAGTTCATCGCAGAATTATAGATTAAATATTCACACAAAATCCCTGTCAACGCCTTTAGCTTTATACAACGCAGCTCTGTACAATCTAATATGACAGTTTTACTTTACTATTTATAGGAATCGGCATAGGTATTCATCAGTCCGTTTTCAGGACTTGTGTACATCGTCGTTAAGGCCTTGAGGCAAAAACAAACTGTTTTCTATTGTTTTTCTTATTAGTTTAGAGAATTTTATGGAACAGTACAGTCCTGACTGTTCCAGAAATATTATGGCATTTTGGAAAAGTACTGCTAAGCAGAGATCAGCTCGAGGACACTCAATTAAAAAGGTTTTGAATCAACAAAACATGTTTCAGTGTCACAGGGAAGGGTTTAACAAGTTGAAGTAACTTTTGAGCAGAACGAAACCGACTTTGATCGTCATCTCTGGCACCCAAATTAGAGAATGACGCCACGTGCCACGAGAAAACGTGTCTGAATTATTTTTTTAACAGTTCTCGAGACGTCTTGCTATGGAACGAGTGGCAGACATATTGCTGCCTGTTTATAAATGAATCCTTTTGGCTGTTTAAAATGGTCTGTAGCTTCGTACACAAAGGCACAATTTGCCACACGCGTTGGTTGAATAGTTATTTAAAAGATTACAGAACTCTCCAGGTCACGTACATACAGTAGAACTTATAAACATTTCTGTGATCGACAATAAAATGGCATCGATCGATTACATTGCAATGTTTTCATCTGAGAAATTTTAAGCCGGATGTACGTTGCAGTTAACCTCACCTCCAGTACGAAATCTTGCGCCCCTTTTGACAACGTTCTAGTCTTCTAAGATAGTCCTGTTTCTGTTTATTGTAATAAAACTCGCCAGCTCCTTCCTTGATAAGAATGGCTGCACATTCAGTATGGCCAGATCGAATCGCTGTGTGCATAGGAGGCCAGCCATTCTCGTCCAAAACATTTATATCTGCGCCATTTTTAATTAGTTCTTTTAGCAGTTCTGAGTTTCCCTCCATTACCACTTGGTGCATCAACGGAAAGTTTGCCTGTGTTTTCTGTTCGCCTTTGTTGACGTCACCTCCATTAACAGTTTTCTGCGTGTCTTCTTCGCCGGCAGAATCTTTTCCTTCCTCGTCAGAGTGTTCAACAATGTCCGTGAGAGCCCGTTGGCGAAACATTGTCAACCTTTCATAAGGCAAACTTAATTTACGCTGCATGTTGAGTGAGTTCCTATATTAATACACCCTACTGTGTATGCTTTGCGTTATCCTATGTAAACAAGTATATCGCTCTAATCACATCGGCTGCACAAGCCGGGGGAATTAAATCCGATCAGACTTGGCGCGGCTAAAAATACTCCTTGGTATCAATAAGCAGCTAATTCCAGAGGCCAATACGGCTTAAATATTACCGACAATGGATACGAATTCACGACAATGTACAAATCTACCCGTCAGTGAGCATTATGCCTTCCGCTACCTCACCTACAAAATATGCGGTGTCCGCAATTGGCTAATTAGTCCGTCCAATAAGTTACAAGTGCTAATGAGTTGACGATCAGTGACTTTTGTTAAGGAGCTCTACTCTGGTTTGTTAACGTGCAAATTAATGTACAACTGTACGTTACATGAGATATTTTTAAACCTCTCGGATAAATTTTTTATGGCAGAGAGGCGCTTTCAAAATGGCCCTTTTATTTGTTTAACTCTGCCTCCCAGTGCTCTTAAAGAAAGGGACTCAATAGAACAAAACAACCGGACGTTTCCACTCTGAATGGATGAATCTTTCAATCCGCATGTTTTGCATGGTTGTTTATTCATTCGTGTCTGTCATCGAAACAATTCTAAACGTCATGAACGTTTCATAACAAGATATTACTCATTTATTACCTTTAATTAAAGATTAAGTAACCTTTTCGGGTTCATAACGTTTCCATTAAGTGTATGATTTGTGAAATCTACTTAAAGCTTCTTCAGGACGATGGATCTGTCATATAGGAAAATTGATTGGTTCGTAATCGCTTTAATAACAAAGGCATCAACAGACAGAATAGATGGCTCCTCTCCAAGTTGTCACTTGGTTTACACAATAGTTCGAATATTCTGTAATATGTTTGCCTTTTTTTAATCTTATAGAACTTAAGTGCATACCACAAGAGCAATCAAACAACTTGAGAAAAAAATCCAAATTATTTAATGTAGAACATTCTTGTGAGAGCAACTTCTTGCAGCAAAATTATCGTCTAAAGCAGACTTTTTGAGACCATACTTATCAAGATCGGAGTTCAGATAGAGCAGCGGAAATGAGCTTAACCAAAAACAGATAGTGCTATTTGGCTGATACCAATCGAGTGATGGTGTTAAAAACGCACCCACTTTAGGTCTGGTCCCCAATCCGACGTCGTGTTTTGGGAACCAAATGACGCACTGGAGACGCTGGGTATGTTATCATGCCCTTCGGCTAACAGTCTGATGGACTGCTGATACATAAACAGTAACGCGACAATATTCGGCTTTCGGGATTTCGTCGTGAATCTTCGGCTATAGGAGGGCATCTCTGTGGGGTTAGGCTGTTCCGAGTTAATAAATGTGTGAAACATTGCTGTCGTTCCGGAAATTATTCGCCGTATATGCAACCCTACACCAGATAAGACTGCCGGTGAATACATTATGTCGCTTCGAGAACTAGGTTAGATTAGAACGCGCTTTTTTGGAGGAAAAACCACTATTTTTCTACTCTGACCATGAATCGTGTCATTTTAGTGAAAGCATTTTATTTTGGCGTTTCTACAGTCGGTCTTTGGGTCATATTAGTTGTGATTTATCTGTTGAATCGTCAGGAAATCTCCTCGAACGTAACGCTTATCCTTGGGACAAGCGACAAGTTGTTGATATCTAATCCAGACATCTACAACATAGAACTGGACGTAGACATCAAGTCCGAGGTTACTCTTCACGGGTTGAATAGACACTCTTGGGAAAAGTTTTGCCAGAGCAGCCTCGAACAAATCTGCAATTATCCAATTTTTCCAAAGGCTCCGGATGCAAGAGAGTACATTCCAAATGTCAACATAATCTCAGAGCGTGGAAGACTCGATCGAGTCATTAGATTGCTGGGTTACATTCGACCGAATGCCTTTGGAGAACATCAATTTTTGTTAACTTCAAATGGCTTGGCAGAGGTTTGGCTAAGTCCTAATGCCAACTGGACAGGCGCTCAAAGAATTGCTTACATCCGGTCCCAAAGTTCGCCATTGAAGAAGATGTCCTTTGAGGGTATAAAGTCTCAGATTTCGGATAGCGTGAAATTAGCCGCCAAACGAAGATACTATTTTGAACTCATTTACATTCAGTCGCAGAGTAATGCAACGAGAAGCAAACATTTAATTCAGGTCGCTTGGAAAAGACCAGATAGTCGTAGATTTGAGATCATCGATAACAAGTTTTTCTTGCTGTATACAAAGGACATGGATAAGGCGAAATTGAAAATTCTCGACGATGAGTTACCAAAAGCTCCCACTTGTGCGCAGTCTCGGACGACATTTGCGAACATGCACTTGAGGCCTGAAGCACTGCCTTACTTAGAGAAAACTGCCGTGGACGAGGCGCTTCCTATCTGTGATTATAAACCCAGTTATCTTCTTGATCCGGCTAATTTACCCCGCGACTTTAAACATTATCGCGGTGTGCGCAGGTATGTTCAAAAAACTTACACGTACCCATTTCAAAGCTTGAACGGAGTGATCAAATCGAAAACTGCGAATAAAGCTTTCATAGCTGGATACCCTTTGAATGAAAAGGAGGCATTGACTGTGGTGACAAATTACTTCAACGCTTTGAAGAGGATCTACCCTAGGTAAGGAATGTCAAACAGTGTAAAATCCTTTATTTGGGACTTTTCTATGCGGGGCACTATATTATTAGAAGGACACTATCTTTGGTCTCGAAAGGAGTGATGTTGTTAGAACTACTGAAACTGTGACCCTGAAGAGAATCCTCTCTAGAATTTTCCAGTCAACGCCAAGCGAAGGTCAAAGGTTGCATCTTTTCCGCTTCACGGTCGAACCTGTTTTAAGCGGTTATCCGTGGGGAATGACGGGGTAACCGCTCAACACAGGTTGACCGCTTGATACAGGTTCTAAAGAATAAGAGTATTATAAAAGCGATAAAGACGCGATGTTTTTCCATTATTGACCAGTTGATTTACAAAACCTCGCTCTAAAATACTGAAAAATACTCCTAATATTGGTTTTGAGAGATAAAGATGGCCGGATTAAGTTTTGTTTGAAATGTTACTCTTAGCTTTATTTAAGTGGTTTCGCTGCAAGTGACCGTTCTATACAGGTGGAGAACGATACAAACAGGCTGTTCGGACTAAGTTAAGGGTGATTACAATCGCTAAACGGAGGTGACTGCTTATTAGAAATGGAAATCACAGCAGGAGTAAATTTCGGGACTTTGGTCTGGAAATGGCCTGGTCACCCTGTGAAGCAGTTAGTGTTGCTTTCTTCAGACCTCCAGCGCGTTAGACAAGGAGTAGTCCCTTCTTCTCGGCGAAGTCCGTTGAGGCGAGTAAAAGAAATCACCCCCTAGAAGACAAAATGATAATAGCGTGCCGCGCGGAACTCTGAGAGTGACGTGCGGGAAAAAGTACTTGCGCGACGGGATTCGCCTAAAAAAGGAGGGGCTGCTCGCAGTCTACAAGCATGTCAAAAGATCTGAACTTCTTTTGTGTTTCCTCAGGACATACGAACTCTTGTCAGTCAGGCGCGTCGAAAAGAAAGGAGATCCGCTAAAAGGAGACAGATATCTCCTTGAGCTTGTGGTCAAATATCTTCCAAATGGCGCCAACTACATCTTGGCAGAATATGTATTCCAGCCAAAGGATCTATCGGGACCTTTGTGTTATCCAAGCGGCCTGCAGTGGGATAGGACAGCGGATGTTTACTTAATTCTCACTGCAAAGAACCTGGGTCGATGGGTTCACCATTTCATCAAGAACGTGGAGCAAATCGTAAAGGAAACAAAAGATGAACATTTACACGTGGTTATATTTGACTTCGGTAGCCCAGATATTGATTTGGAACAGGCTTTGAGAAAAAGTTCTCTGATAAACTATCACTTAATTGTGCAACCTGGGAACTATTCGCGGACTCTTTCTTTTGGTAGAGCTGTGCAATCGATAAAGGACCCAAACGCCATTATTGTAACCATTGACATGCATCTGGATCTTGGGAGTCAACTTATCAATGAAATTCGCAAGGTAAGCGTTCTTTTTTGTTTTATTTTATTTTATTTTATTTTATTTTATTTTATTTTATTTTATTTTATTTTATTTTATTTTATTTTATTTTATTTTATTTTATTTTATTTTATTTTATTTTATTTTAGGGGAGGGGATAAAAGGAAACTCCCTAGGGTTGGGTGGAGGTGGGAGGGGAAGGAAGTGGAAAAGGCAAGGAGTGTGAAAATAACCTGCGTGGAGTTCCTGTTAGCGCCGCACCACGAGCGACCAGGCCCACGACATTTTAATCAGAGGGATGTCTGTGAGGGATCATTTTCGAACTAGAACCATCGGTGCCCCCTTACAAAACCCCCGCTCGCTTGAGACGCGCGGGCTTCGCAACTCTTGTCGCTCCACCAATGAAAGCCTGCGTGCAGGTTTACTTGCAATTAACTACTCGCTCGGAGATTCGTTTATTAATTTCAAAGTATGTGTCATTTCTAAAACATGCACAGGAGTCAACAATAGTGCTTTGCACTTCAGTAGCATCCTGGCCCCGGCGAAATCAGTCGGTTCTTGCGTTTTTCCTATGCATTTATGTCAGGACTATTACCTGTTGAAAATACTAGTCATCGGAAATTAACGTGCGTGCGCCAAAGTTGATAAACTGTAACATAAATCGTCTGTTAAAAGTTTAGTTATCCTGTTATTTTGTCATTTCAGCATTGTATCAAAGGGAAAATGTTGCACGCTCCTCAGATAGTCTATCTTTACTGTGACGGAACCAGTGCTGTTCCCAGAGGGCGATGGTACCACTACAGCTATGGAACTGTGGCAGTGTACAAGGAAGACTGGGACAAATTTGGAGGATTCTCCAAGGATTTTGAGACAAAGGTTACATGGGGAGGCGAGGACTGGGATCTAATTGACGGCGCAGTCAAGAGTGGCTTGGAAATAGAGCGCACACGCTGTCCAAAGATTTACCATTATTACCACAGTAAGACAGGAATGTGGGTAAAAACTGAAAAGCCTAAATTAGCCAAGGGGGCAAAACCAACTCCAAAGACGGCACAAATAACGCCAAAAGCGGCAAAACCGGTGCCAAAAGTAGCAAAACAGATGCCAAAAGCGGCAAAAGCTTTGCCAAAAACGGCAAAACCGATGCCAAAAACGGCAAAACCGATGCCAAAAGCGGCAAAACCGATGCCAAAAGCAGCAAAACCGATGCCAAAAGCGGCAAATCCGATGCCAAAAGCGGCAAAACCTGAGCCAAAAATGGCAAAACCGATACCAATGACAGCAAAACTAACCAGGAAAAGGGCATTGTCCATGTTTAAAGGTCATATTTAAGGCCAGCGAGGTATTCAATTTACTATTTTGGGACACGAAGACGTGGTCTACGAGTGTGGTACTCACAAGTTTTTAAATCTCATTTAAAACATTCCGTCTGAATATCCCAACGTGGCTTCATGAGGGCGATATGCGACAATCCTTAATGGCTCTTCGTCGTGAACAATGAAGCAAGAGAAATAATTTTGTTTTGAAGAAGATCATAGCTTGTAAGCTTTAGCGGCACCCCTCCTTTCTCTCAACTAATTTCTACCCTCCTTTCAGAATTTTAATCGCCATATCATAGGCGTAGTGATAGAGAAGTTGAATACTTAATGATTGTAAAGATTTACCTAGATTGCACACAACTTTCTTCTACTTCTTAGGAGCAAATAAGCGAATGGGCGCGCGACCCTTGAGAGATTTTCTATCTCCTGTCCAAAAAGTTCAACATTATGGTAAAATCATGATCAAATGTCATCCCATATGTTCTTTTATGAGAGGTCTTATTACACTTCCTGCCACAATAATATGAGTTACGTTACTTACTCCTATACCCGTCATATTCGTTTTCGTCCCGTTATACTATGAAGCAATGTTTAAACATGCAAACGTTAAATGCATAAATTGACTTGTATTTAATGAATTGTGAAGCAAATGTTTTATTTACGGCATGGAGCCGCGCTATGGTAGCTATTATGGACTGAATTCACTAGTAATTCACCTGACTGTCTGCCTTACAATTCTTGTGATCTTATTTCAGAGAATTTGGTAATGGATCAAATAATTAACGATCTCCTATTTATATTTTTCTTTATTCTTATCAATTGTCTGCTTGAAATTGTATTGTTAATCCTAAACTATTTAATACAGTAAAATATTTTGATCGGTTGTGGAAAATTGTTACCACCAGCACTTGCAAGTCATTGCCAATTGTTTGTAGGCAAGTACTTCAGTCTATTGTTGTTTCAAGTTGTTGTAATTTTTTCATATATATTGTTCAAGAGAAACTTCCGAGAGGCTTGCCATTTCTGAGATATATTACTTTTCTCGTTTGAAAGACATCGAAATAAAAATTCAAAAACAATTGTTACTGGGTGCATTTCCACCATCACGTCTCCTTCATTTCGCGATGAATGGCGTAATTTTCACCAGCAGGCCCCGGTTGTTTGAAGGTTGGTTAATGCCATCCACTGGATAAATCCCTATCCGGTAAATGGTGTAGTAAGTTGATATCACTTATCCTCTGGATAGCCTTTCATGTCTTGGATAACGTTATCCGACCTTTATACGATAGTTCGAACCCTGGGGAGTTATTTAATCGCATGTCTTATCGTCCAGGCTAGGGTAGTTGTTGTCGGTAGTTGTTGTCGTTTTGACAACCTTAGAGAAGTCGTTATTACAGTCTTTCGTGTGAGTTTTTTCTTTAACACCTTTAACAATACATCTTAACTGAGAAGAAAATCTCCGTGGGAACGACCCCAGCAGCGTAAATGTATCAAACGCTTTATTTGCATTTCATTGAAAATATCGAACATGGGACAGTCCGAGCTGCCCACATCTTCTGTTATCTGATTCATACTCCTTGGCGAGTTGGACAACTTATATTATTCAGGAACGAATGCTGGCGACAATCATGGCTCGCGTTAATTTTAGACGAATGGTTTTCGTTTTTGTTCTCATATTAGATCTTTGGGTACTATTTATCGTCATTCATCGCTCACCGCTTATCGTTGATACACGCCAGAAAATCCTTGCAAAAATTAACGGAACTCATGACTGGCTTATAACAAGAGCTCATTACACCAATATTGAAGAAACCTCAACGGGTTTTAACAAACATACTTGGATATTCGAAAGTTGTCAGATTTCACTTCAACAATTATGCAATCATCCAATGTTTCCAAAATCTCCGGACATTAGAAAAACTATTTCAAATGCTGACCTTAATTTTACAGCTAAGAACAATTTCGTGGCTATTCGATTGCTGGGCTACATTCGACCAAATGTTACTGATGTCTATCAATTTTTGTTGACCTCGATTGGATCAGCTGAAATGTGGCTTAGTTCGAGTTCTGACTGGAAAGATGCAAGAAGAATAGCTGCGGCCAGTGGTACACAAAATCTTTCGAACCCCATCAGTTTGGTTGGGGGAAGGAAATATTACATTGAGGCAATCTATGTTCAAGCTGAACTTAAAAACAGCCAACAGTTGATACAAATCTCTTGGAAACGACTCAATAGCGCTGACGGATTCGATGTGATTGATGGACCTTTCTTCTCACCATACACGAACGATGACGAAAAATATGAATTTGAAGTATACGATGACAAATTGCCAGGTGCACTTTATTGTGCTCAATTCGACAGAAGGTCTACCAACAAGTTCTTGAGGCCAGAGAAGCTTCCATACCTCGAACGAGCTGCTGTGGACCAAGTTTTAGAGGTATGTGACTATAGCCCCAGTTACCTCATCGATCCGGAAAATCTGCCATCTGACTTTCAAATGTATTATGGTGTTTCACTATATGTACAACGAACGAATGTTTACCCGCCTTTGAATGGAACGAGAATGGCTTTCGAGGAGATGATATTTTTCCTCGAGGAAGAGGCAGCGTTTTCAGTTATAAACAAATACTTCGAGGAGTTGAGTGGAGCTTTCCCCGGGTAAGTTTAATCAAACACACCGATGCATTTTTATTTTTAGGTGAATGGGAGTGCAAACTCATGATAAATTGAGATTTATTCATGTGAGGCCTTCCACCCGTAAGAGCTCTTTTGAGTGTCTTTAACGGACACTTGTTTTTCTTTTTGTTACAGTATTAAGTTCTTTGTTTTATAAGTTTTGCGCCTTATGCTATGATTATGAAAACAAATCAAAACAGAACAAACCAGATTTTTCATAAAAATGTACTTTTGAGTTTTGGAAAAATAAGCAGTTTGGAATACTTCTCTGGATACTAGAATATAATTAATCTCCATACTGTAGCCGTCAGCCAGCTTAAAAAAAAATAAACAGCGTATAACTTGGATTATGGTTGTTCTATTCTTGAGCAGATTTACCTTCAAAACGAATAATCCAATCTATTTAATTGTCTCCGAAATGTTTGTTTTACTTAGCAACTTGTCATGAAAACGCCCACACTTCTAGACATTTTAATAAGTCACCCCAGAAATAATAACGTAAAATATAAATTCTCACTCGGAAAATTAAAGAAACAGGATATAAAAAATTTTGAAATGAAAATCAAACATTTTGAAATGAAAATCAAACATTTTGCATCCGGCTTGAAGTCTTAAGTAATCTCACTCAAAAATAAAAAAATTGTAAAGCAATTAGCACTGCGCATGCTCTACGCGAAGCTGTAAGGCAACGTTGAGAGTGAAATTTTGCATACAATTACACTTAATTTAAAAAAAGTTCAAGCGACCTCTTTCCTTTTTATTTTAATTAAGTTATAGCAGACATATATTCAAACTTTTCTGCGTTGAATTTACCTGCTTTTCGTAGAAAGCTGAAGTTGAGGTTATTGTTATGAATTCAGGGTTTACCTTGGTGTAAAACTCCTATGCAGTTCTTCTTTGCTTTGCAATTATTACTTTCCTCGGCTCCTTTGTTTGCATTTTTTTGTCTTCTTTGTTCCAAATTACTCGTGAAAGTAACAACGGGCACTTCCACCAGAGATGGTAAATATTAAACGTTTATTAAGGCTCAGGGAGCAGTCATTATTTGTCTTCGGGGGAGGGGGGATTGGAGAGTTTTGTTTGCGTCACGATAAATTTTATCTGATTCCACACCCCCCCTCCCCATAAGGCTCTGTAATGTTCTTATGGCCCCCCTCATTGCAGTAAATTGGTAGAAAATTATCTATGGTTCCCCCCTTTATACTCAGTTCCCCCCCTGAAAACCATGTGATCCTTGCAAAATCTTTCACCCCTCCTCCCAGACAGTAAATGGTCACTGGTCCCCAAATGCAGAAATTTTTCAATCAACACTAAGTACTAACCCTCTCCATCCAGGAAATACGAACTCCAATCTGTTATTAGCGTTGAAAGAAGAGAAGACCCCGGAAAAGGTAATAAATATTTCCTCGAACTTGTCGTCAAAGATATCCCAAGAGACATCAGTTATGTCCTGGCAGAAAATGTTTTTGAACCGAAAGATGAAAGTGAGCCATTGTGCTATCCTAGTGGCCTGCTGTGGAACAGGAATGCGGATGTCTACCTGATTCTGACCGCCAAGAACCTGGGTCGATGGGTTCACCATTTTATCAGAAACGTAGAAGAAATCATGCTAGAGACGGAAGACGAACATTTACATGTGGTTATTTTCGACTTCGATAGCCCTGATATTGATCTAGAGCAGGCCTTGAAACGAAGCACTCTGAAAAATTATCATTTTATCAGAAAACCTGGTAATTATTCTCGCAGTATTGCCATAAGTGAAGCAGTGGCATCAATAAAGGACTTAGATGCCATTATTGTTACTATTGATCTACACCTGGATATTGGGAGCCGAGCAATAAACGATATACGCAAGGTAATTGGAGAGAGGGTACTGGGGTGTGGGTGGGATTTTCTCAGGGGTTGGGGTTAGACTATTAACATTATCATTTAGGTGTTAGTCATTATCTAACTACGTAATGGATAGTTGAGGCAAGTGCGCCTAAGTCAACAAACTTGATCGTCTGTTAACCTTTTTAACTCCCAAAATCTGCTTGTGTTTTAAAATTCTCCCCTCTAAAATATTTGCAAGAATTTGGTGTCAGATCAAGATAACATCTTCCACCCCATAAGTTTCAGTATTCCCTTTACCTATATGCAGAATGATGTATAGATATCTATAGGGAGAAATTACATGTTAATCACTTCTAGGAGTTAAAAAGTTGAAGGTCTCTTTGCTGTCATATTGTCATTTCAGCATTGCATCAGAAGCAAAACATTGTACGCTCCACAGATAGCTTTTCTTGACTGTGACGGAACTAGTGCTGTTCCCATAGGGGAATGGAACCGCTACAGCTATGGAACTGTGGCAGTGCACAAGGAGGACTGGGACAAATTTGGAGGATTCTCTAAGTATTTCGAGACAAAAGTTACATGGGGAGGCGAGGACTGGGATCTTATTGACGGCGCAGTCAAGAGTGGCCTGGAAATAGAGCGCAAGCCAAGCCCATATATCTACCATTATTACCACACTAAAGCAGGAATGTGGCTATAAAATACCAATGACGGAGAAACCACCGAGCCAAAATCTGTAGATAAACTTTAAAGATCTTGTTTATGGCCAGCATGTTTCGGTTGGGCCGTGGAAGGGGGGAGGAGTGAGGAGGGGTGGGGGGGGGGGGGGGGAGTAGATCTACCAGCGCAGCACCAACACATTTTTAATCTAATTGTAAACATATTGTCTCACCATCCCAGAACTGGATACATGATGGCGATATAACACAATTCTTAATAATTCTTAGTCTTAACAACATAGCAAAATGAAAGAAATTCGTTCCAAAGAGAGTCAGAGTATGAAGTCTTTTACAGCACACCGAACCCAAACTCCACCCTAGCGGATCCCCTGTTCTTTCTTAGCCACCGACCAAGCACAACCAGGATGGTGACCAGCATAAGCAAATGTTGAATTTTAAAGGTTGTAAAGTATCTTCTAGGCTGCAAACATTTTTTATTTTTATCAGCTGTTCCCAAGTACTGAAGACGTAGGCAATGGGTTGCCTACTCGCTCTTGGTATTTCGGAGGGATAGTCAACGTAACTGATATTCAAGAGATGATAAAAAAAAATTGTATAGAATTATATGTAAGTATTATATAAAATCTCATCCCATCGGTACCTTTATAGGCTGTTTTAATTTGAAATTCTAAGTATTAGTCATGCGTCATTTTCACATTCGTCATATTGTACTGAAAAATAAAATTATAACATATTAATGATCAATATCTGGGTGTTTTTGTTTACTATATAAGCAGCACAAATATGAAGTTTATTGCGTAAAGCCAAGCGAAAGTGGCGATCAAGGGCGTCTCTTCGTAATATGCTCAACTATTTTCATCAGACCAACTGTACAAATTAAAACTCTCCTGTGACAAGTATTCAGTTCTCGTTTACTTAAAGTCCAGCTCACCGAGGAGTACTGTGCAGATTTACAAATACTTTTTCTTCGAAACTCGAGGAGCAATTGTTGGTTTTACGACAGTCGTACTTCACGTTCGAGTTCGTTTCCCCAACCCCTTCCGCCCGCCTCCTCCTGTTAGTTAAGGTGACGGCAGATTGGTTTCAGCCTAGCTGGATATTAAACCTCGTTCCTAGTCTCCTTGGCGTCAAACTTGGTCAAAAACTCATTCCTTCGATTACCACATTCCATATTTGGTGTGGTAATAATGATAGACCCATGGTGATCGTTTCCTTTCTATTTCCAGGCCACCCTTGACTGCGCCGTCAATGATGTCCCAGTCCTCTCCTCCCCACGTGGTTTTGTTAACAAAACCCTGTGAAAAGCCTCCGAATCTTTCCCAGTCTTCTTTATACATAGCAACTGTTCCATAGCTGTAGTGGTACCATGAGCCTCTGGGAAGGGCACTGCTTCCACCACAATTTAGAAAGATGATTTGGGGAGCATAGACGGTCCTTCCTTTGATACAGTGCTGAAAAGAACGTGAAAAACTGTTAAAACTTCAATAAAAGTCTGTGTAACATAGGAGTCAAGCCTGGAAATGCCATCAAAAACTTGAAATGTACTTAGGGAGCTGTTCCTTTTTGGTTTATATTTCGAGGAGGCTGAAAAAATTTCAAAATGCTAACAAGGTGAAACATTTAATTGGTTACTCAGAAGCCAACATTGATACGGCTATGATTTCTTCCCAACACAGCTTAGGAACCTGTCATAATTAATCGCTGTAGTAGGGGTGGGGTGGGGGCTGGTTGTGTCACGATAAAAATGAAAAATTTACCTATTCTCCATAAGGCTCGGTAAAACTACCATAACACTCCTTATTGGCAATTAATTGGCAGTCAATTTTCTTTAGTCTCCCATTTATACTCTGTTGGCCACGACTGATCCCACCTTTGTTCCCCCTGAGAACCATATAATTCCTCCCCCCCCCAAATTTCCTCCGACCTCCCCCCTCCACCTTCCCGGTCATAAATGATGACTTCTATTATTCATTTGGAGTTTTATTTACCCTTTGGGTCGTGTGACCTTGGTTCTGCTGATTGACTGTTGTGACTGATCCTACCTTTGTTTCCCCCGAGAACCATATGATTCCCCCCCAAAAAAATTCCTCTGAAACCCCCCCCATCCCCCCCTTTGGCCCCTCCCCCCCACCTTCTCGGTGATAAAGAGTGACTTGCTCATTCATTTAGAGTTCTATCTAGCCCTTTGGGTCGTGTGAACTTTGTTCTGATTGGCTTTTGTGATTACTTTTGAGGTAAGTGATTTGCAACAGTCCATTTCAAAGAGCTCCTCGTCCCTACCTTACGTATGTCGTTAATCATCTGACTTCCGATATCCAGATGCAAGTCAATGGTTACTACAATGGCTTCAGGATCATCTATTGACTTTATAGCTTCCATTAAGGAAACTGTGCGCGAATAATTACCAGGCTTTGAGATATAATGATGGTTCCTCAGATTGCTTCTTCTTAAAACGTGCTCTAAGTCAATATCTGGGCTGTTGAAGTCAAATATAACCACGTGTAAATGTTCATCTTTCGTTTCTCGTACAATTTCTTCCACGTTCTTGATAAAGTGATGAACCCACCGACCCAGGTTCTTGACCGTGAGAATCAGATAGACATCCGCTGTCCTGTTCCACTGTAGGCCTCTGGGATAACACAACGACTCACTTCTATCTTTCGGTTTAAAAATATATTCCGATAAAATATAGCCATCAAAGTTTGTGAGATCTTTTACAGCAAGCTCCAGAAGATATCTATTTCCCTTCTCAGGATCTTTCTTTTTTTCAACGCGAATGATATCCTCAAGTTCATATTTCCTGTTGAAATAATGTTTTACTCAATCATAAGTGTGGATCATAGATTGATCTCCACTTCACATTGTGTAGATCAGCCAGACCTGACTTAGCCTACTAGTAACCATTATACAACATCAAATTTATTACACTTATTGCTTGGTTTTTCTTGCATTATCATTATCCTCTTTTGACACGATTTCCCAGAATTCGAGGAGGTATTCTAAGCTTCCGACTGAATCTTCGAACGTCGCATCGAACGAACGACTACACGAACGACCGAACGACTAACCGAACGAACGACAACGGCGACGACCGGCAAAACTAAAGAACGAACGAGTTACGGAAGTGACGAACGAACGAGCAAATAAATTAAAGAACTAACAAGCAACGACAGTCAGGAAAGATCAAGGATTGACAAATGGCAATACACGAATGGTCAACGACTGCTCACAAAGAAAGGCTAGTTTCAAATTTAAAAAATCTCAAATTCTTACCCTGGATAGCTTTTTTCCACAGTTTCCATATACGCCTCAACCACGGACCACGCTTCTTCCTCTTCTAAGGGATCCTCAGCCAAAAACACGTTATGCGCCGTGTGACTTCTGATAATGCCATCAATATTTGGATATGGGTAACCGTACGTTTTATGCACATGTTTTTTTACGCCATGGTATTTTTCAAACCTATCTAATTTAGCAGGATTGAGAATATAGCTAGGACTGTAGTCACAAAATGGTAAAGCACCACTAATGGCGGAATTATCCAAGCTAGGATATGGCTCTGATCTCATATATTTGTTTGCGTAGCTTTTCTGATATTTTGCACAGTAGTGAGCTTTGGGTAAACGATCGTCATAAATTTTGTACTTGTCCTTCTCACTGTCATTTGTATACAGTGAGAGTGATTCTCTCTCAATAATCTCAAACGTGGATTTTCCTGGTCGTTTCCAGGCGACTTGCAGAAAGTTCTCGCCTCTTTTGCGACCTCCAAGGGAGTACACGATCTCAATGAAATATCGTTTTCTCGCCTCTAAATAAACTCCGGCGGAAATCTGTGATTTTACAGCCTCAAAGTCCCATTTTTTTATTGTAGATTTCAAATCAGTTTGCCTGATGTAAGCAATCTGGTTTGCCGACCTCCAACTTTTATCAGGACTTAGCCAGACTTCAGCAAAACCATTCGATGTTACCGCGAAGAGATGTTCACCTGATAAATTTGGAACCAAAAAACCAAGTAAACGATGGGCATCCACGCGGCGACGGCTCCGCGTAGTGATTTCTGTTCGTGATATTATTTCTCTTTTATCCGGTGCTTTAGGAAAGATTGGGAAATTGCAAAGGGCTTCAATGCTCTTCAAACAGTTGTATTCCCAAACATGGTGGTTTAGTCCTTTTGACATGTCAAAGATCTCTTCGTCAAGATCGAGGTCTCCGCCGGACCTCAGAAAAAACAGTCGCTCCAAAGAGCCAACCAGTTTCTTCTGGAAGCTCCTTGCGCTTGGTAAACAATCTTGTCGACCCAAAAGGCACACATCGGTGAAAATTAAAGAAAGACACGTAAAGAAGGAACCGGCAGAAACAACAAATTTCAACACTGTAAGATTCATCCCTCTATTGTAAAATCAAAGAAATACTCCTCTCCAAAGTTTCATCTCAGTTGTCCCGTCACAAAGTCTATATTTCCCACTGCCAAGAATAAGCGTTCACTTGAGATACTCAAGGACTTAATAGACCCCCCACACTAATTATCTTAACTCACCAAAGAAGGATGGGAGCCTGCAAGATTATCCTTGTGAAAGCAAACTAGCTCTGTCTAAGAAGGAGATGGAAAATTTGCTCAAATGTAGCCCGGGTTCTGTATTAACCTCTCTCCCTGATATCATCGTCTGCAATGCGATAATGCACAAACCGGAGGTGGTTTAGTTTTGAAAAACATTCTGATATTATCTCTGAGAATTGTATACCGTGTCTAAGAATGGAATCTTTTCTTTTATCTTTCGTTTGCTTTGTCGTTAGCTTCTTTCGTGAGCAAAAACCAGATAAACACATTCTAATTCTTCAGTGCTTGGCTTCCATATTCTTAATCGTATATTGAAAGTATCGTTTTTTCCAACTTTTTTTTCATTCTTCTTTTAAATCTTTGGGCATCTTTTCACGACCCGTGGTTGGAATCTGACCCAGGATGAACTATCGCAAAAGGTCCCCGTTCTGCATTTGAATATTGTTCACCGATTAGATGAAAGAGTTCGGCAGAAAAGCTACGGATCGCCCACTCTTTCCGGACCGGAATTAGAATTCTTGCTGAGATTTGGGTTGATTAGACTAAAAGGGCTGAAAATTTTATGAAACGCTAACATGGGCGTGATAGCTTAAATCAAATATGTAAACAACGGGTGATGATACACAATGAGCAATACATCACTAGGAGTTATTGCCAACCATTGAGTGACCCAATCAGACCGATATCAGGTTGGCACAAACAAGTTTGGAGTTTCCAAGGCAACTTGTGGACTCATCGATAAAGTAGGTGAAAAAGCTTTTGGTTATCCTGTTGATGATCTTCTTTTGTTCGACATGCGGCGAAGAAACATTCCACGAGAAACGAATCCGTGAGAACGAACTTAACTTTGCACTTCTTATCCTTCCAGCTTTGTGATCCGTTAGTTTATTTTGGCCTTTTTATTCACGAATATTTTACTTTTAAAACATTTTCAAGTGGAAGACACTCCAGAGGATGTTGTGACTTCGTCGAGAGACCTTCTTATCAGACATATTGGGACACCATTACTAATTCGAGTCCGATACAATTTGATGGGACTGAACTGCTTTGATTTGGTCATGCGCACTATCACGTATCTTGAGTGCCTGGATCGAAAATAATTAAGCTGTGTTAAAGCAGTCTCGTATATCTTAGAGCTAAAAATGTCAAGTTCTATCTTGAAGTCGCTTTCTTAGAAGAAGAAGTAGATAACGAAATTAATCAAATATTTATCAGCTATCATATGTTATGTATTTTGCTTAGCCACAACCGGTGAAAACAATAAAGCCGCGTCTTTAGTTCTGCATGCATTTTAAAAATTCTGTGATATCGTGCTTTTTTCCTCCTCTTCACTCATTCTCATCCACGAATTTCGTTTGTTTGATCAACCACCCATTCAATATTGACCAAACATATTCCGTTAAATGGTTGAATACTAGTCAAAAGGCCTTGTTTGCGTTCAAGGATAATTTTGGACCGAGGCAGGGTCAAGGTTCAAAAAATGAACTATTGGACCAAAGCCGATATCCAAAATTCTTGTTAGAATAAGCTTTGAGAATAAAGGATTTTTAAAGGCCAAGAGACTACATAAGAAAGCACAAGAGTGGACAAGAAAGATGGCAATCCCGAGCGTGCACTCCTTAGCAGGTAGTCCCGCGCTTACAATCCCGACTAGAAAGGTAAACCATTGCGTGCCCCTTTGAGTAGACAATCAAAACCCAAGTACACTGTAAAATGAAAAGAGCCAAATTGACCCCAAAAGCCAAATTGGCCCCAATTTCTCGAGGGCCAGTTTGGCCCATCAAGGTTCGTTTTGGACTATTTGAGCCAAAACGGGCGGGACAGGTACCATTTCGACCCCTCCAAAATCTGAATTGGCCCCTATGAATTCTACTTTGGAACTTTTTCTCAATTTGGCCCTTCCAAGAGCCAAGTAGGATTGACCAATTTGGCCCCAACGAGGTACAATTTTTGAAAAAAAAAAGAAAATATAAAATTAATTTTCTTTTTTCGACCATATTTCGTTCCCTATACTATTCCTTATAAAGTGTTCCTCTCGTAACTGAACACCGAGTCACACAACGAATTAATCGTTGGCTTTTTCTCGAGACGTGAGCGTGAGCTGCCTGTGATGGCATTAGTCGAACCTAGACCACGAGCGTCGGAAACAATAATGAATTATAGCAGCGAATTCGTCACTGAAGAGGCTGTTTCTTGGCTACAGTCGCATGGAATGAGACTTAAGAAAGGAAAGGTAGGCAAAAGAAATTTCTTAACAACGTATTTTACTGCAACTTTACATTCACAAACTTGACCGCTCCATTGATCTTTGTTCGCATCTTATCTTGCAGAAAAAGACGGTTGCGATGGCCAAGATCTCCTTGCCATCGCCCAAGATGCAGACGTACCAAGGCACTACATCCCCATTATAAAAGAGCGTCTAAAGCTCAAGAAATTGATTGCAATGAACGCTGAACCTAGAGATGACACGAGTTCTTCGTCGGTACGCCAGAGAATTTGACGCATGAATGGTTCGCCTCTTCTCCTGAGTCTTGTTGAGTCTCAGCGGTTTCGCAACTAAAGTCACGTGATCAAATTTTGGCGGCGAGAGATAGAGACGGTTACAGTTCGAATACTGCATTTGCACAAGATGGATTTAACTTATTTCAAGATTCTCTGATTTTAGGATCTCCCACTCTAAATTCTTAATCTTTTTCTAGAAAAGATGAACTGATATTTTTATGTCTATGTCTTTGTTTGCATCCACTTAAGCTGATTTTTTGGCTCTCACTCTTTCAGTGTGCAGAATCAAGTCCTTCGAGTAAGACGGTTCAAACGTCGATTGATGATTCAGATAACATCAGCGATTATGAAAATTTAGAGGTGACATTGGCACCGAAAGAAAAGGGTAAATCGCCCAAGGATCTCTGTTTTACGGACGAGGCGACAGAACTGAGCACTGTCTAAGTAAGTTCTTGTATATTAAACTTAGCAGGATGGTGAAGAGTACATTATCGATTACTTTCTTTCGATAATATCCTAAAGGAAAAACACACAAGGTGCCAGTTGATCAGTTAAAGATGACAAATCTATCTCGGGATTGCACCTACAAAAATGGCGAGATTTGCTTTATTTTTATTGAAATATATTAGATATGTATTTACTTGCACCATGCATAAAACAAAGTAAACCCAATTTTTAAATCTGGTAAATTAAAAAATTAGTGAATTGATAGGATGTTATCAGACAGTTTAATTTTTTTGAAAACAAATATTTACCTACAGGTTCCTCCTGAATGGCTTTCAAAATTCCAACTACCATCGAGGGTAAGAAACTTTTCTTTGTTTTGTTTTTTAAGTCTATAAGCAATCCTTATTTATTCATGAATACTGAACTAAAACTGAAGTGCATAGAGGTATGATTTCTTTTCTTGATAAGTACATATACAGTTTGGTGAAAATACATCATTGATGATCACCATTAGTGTGTTTTTACTTCCTATGCACAGTTTGCTTACAAATATTTTGTAACTTTGTAGTTGCAAAAATTTACTGTTCTCCAACAACAAATTGATTTGCTCATTTGTTTGTTTTTTTGTACAGTTCTCTGCCTCAGTAGAGTTGGATACCCAGAAGGGATATCTCATTAGCAGCCTAAAGTACTCTGAGCAACAGTGGATTGCAAAAAAAAAATTATTGCATAGTATCCTTGTATGGTTAGCAGGATACTAGACTAAGTTGACTTGGAAACTGAATGGATTGGTATGGTCTAAAAATCTATTGCTTCACCTCTTCTGCTTGCAGTGAAGAGAGAGAATTTTTTGGTGCTGAATCTCTTGCCTTAAACTAAAAAGTTGCAAAATGTCAGACAGAACTTTTCTGTCTGACAAGCACAATCACCTGAATATAGTAACAGAACAAAACTCAGTCACAGAGAATTGATGCATCCTCTTTAATTCTTTAACTTAAGTGTGTATATATATATTCTTTTTTTTTTTCTGGCTACAGGCACTTTTTGCACTTTGGCTTGATTTTAATGAGGTTGTAAAACTTGTTTTTATTGTATAGAGTAGCTGATGTTGATTCAGCAATCAGAGATTATGTCCAGCACAAATTTTAATTGTTGGAGATCTTCAATACATCAATCACCTGAATATAGTAACAGAGGAAGTGTAATTTGTCACTTCTTGCAAGAAAAGATTCTTGATGCTCTTACTTGGCTTATTTATATTTTCTTACAATCGGTCAAAGGCAATTTTGACTTTTTTTAGAGCAAACATTGCTTGAAATTGGGCACAGGCAGACTCTTGTCACTGTTTCCTCTATTTTCAATGACTTAGCAAATGCCTGCGGTAGGACTTGCTGATAGTTTATATTTTGATAATATCTAGAGTAGTAATATGAGTGCATGTATTCTCACATCCACTGGAAGAATACTCTTTGCTGCATTTCTGAGGCTCTTTGTTTTTCATATGCACAAATCAAACAAGATCTATATTTTGTGCAGGAACTGGACCTTTTGTTGCCCCTCTGTCTTATTTTGATAATTTTCTGTACTTTGAATCAGTCTTAATTATAAGCTGCTTTTTGGCCACATTTGCTAAATCATTTTTAATTTTACAGTGCAACTTGACATAAAACTTAAGTTTAAGTAGAACTGAAAGTATTTAGTACATTATTGACAAACCTTAAATCCATCGCTACACTAGGAATGAAAGTGATTACAACAAAAAGAGTGTGCTTTTTTGGCGAACAGAAAAAAACATTATTTTTCCACAGGAGGCATTCCTTACGAAGGATGGTCTCAATCCACGACAATGAAAAAAATCGAAGAAGGTTATCGTCTGCCAAAGCCTGAACATATCGACGACAGTTTGTAAGTGTTGCTTCCTCTGTGTGGAATGTTATATAAGTCAAAAGCAATATCGATTGCTGCTGTGGTCAGGTGTTTTTGATACTCTTGGTCTGAATAAGAAGTCTTCCTAAGAAATTAATCTTATCTTGTCAATACAAAAATTTAAATGAAAAGTTGTTGAGTCAAATAAAGAATACGGTGGGTTTTTCATCACAGAATTCGTTTGAGCTGCAATGTAATGAGATAAACTTAGCATTTCAGTTATTTTTGTAACTAGTTGTGGTTTCTCAACTTTGCTACTTGCAATATTAGTGCCTATCGCGGAATTACTGTGATCATATGTCCCTGTGTTTTTCTATAGATACGCGGTGATGTTAAACTGCTGGAAATACGAAAGCGCCAGCCGGCCACACTTTGTGAAGCTCTACCAAACAATGGATACATATATTAAAACAAAGGTTTGCCATACAGCGTCTAATTCAGGATATACTTTAGCAATTGAAATTGGTATCCTATCAAGTCAATTGCGAATTTCTTTTCACGTCAATGTGATGTCAAAACGCATTAACTACCCAGCCGCTAACAATTTGTGAATTCAGTTTCATCATGAACCAATGTTACTTTTTAAACATATGCAAGTGTGGTTACGTCATGTCAGTCTGGATCATCCTTATTTTCCCTCTGTTGTCTACACACAAGAAAGAACGGAACAGATCTTAAAATTACACTTTTGGAAAACTTTGACAGAAAGGGAGACCTTACCCGAATTTTTTCCTTATCAATTCATGCAAGTACTAATGGTTCTTGTCTTTGTGACCGATATCTGATCTGCTCTTTTTTTGTCTTTTTAGTGACTCATTTTTGAAATTCCTTCGTTCAAGATTTTTTAACTCATGCAGTTCCTGATTAACTTCTAATCTTTTTCATAGACATATGTAGATATCTTTGACGATGACAAGTATGATCAGGATAAGTACAACTTTGTCGATGACCGTGGAGCTGTTGCAAACCCAGAAGATGCAGGAGCGGACGAGCTAGGAGCAGCTGCAGCAAATCCCATCTGTGGAGTGGGTGAACACGGTGCTATGGCACATCCCTTTCTGGTTGCAATGGACGATGGCGCTACAGCTTTCCCTTTTGGAATTAACGTAGGAGACGAAGGAGCACCTGCAACAGATCCCGACCGTGATATGGGTGAACACGGTGCTACGGCACATCCCTTTGTGATTGCAATAGACGATGGTGCTACAGCTTTCCCTTTCGCTATCAACGTACAAGATACAGGGGCAGCTGCAGCAAATCTCGCCCATGAAGTGGGTAAGCACGGTGATGCTGCACATTCCTTTGTGGTTGCAATTGACGATGGTGCTACAGCTTTCCCCTTCGCTATTAACTTACAAGACAAAGGGGCAGCTGCAGCAAATCTCGCCCATGAAGTGGGTAAGCACGGTGCCACTGCACATCCCTTTGTGGTTGCAATTGACGATGGTGCTACAGCCTTCCCCTTCGCTATTAACTTACAAGACAAAGAGGCAGCCGCAGGAAATCTCGCCCGTGAAGTGGGTAAGCACGGTGCTACGGCACATCCCTCTATGGTTGGAATTGACGATGGTGCTACAGCTTTCCCTCTCGGAATCAAAGTAGAAGAAGAAGGTTGCGCAGCATACCCTTTTGAGAGTGATAAGAAAGATATGGATGCCCAAGCGTACCCTTTGGAGAGTGATACTTTACCATATCTTAGCGAGAACGAGGAAGAAGATGTTGATGACTCCGAGTGCCCTCTTGCGATTGAGGAAGAAGAAATTGATGACTACGAGTGCCCTCTTGCGATTGAGGAAGAAGAAATTGATCCTTTACCATCCTCCCTGGTGATGGACCAAAACGGTCTAGATGCTTCAGTATGTCCCCTTGTGACTGACGAAGAAAATTCTGATTCTTTAGCATGCCCCCTTATGGGTGAGGAAGAAGATTCCAATAACTCAGCATGCTCCCCTGTAACTGGGGAAGAAGATTTCGAAGCCACAGGAAGCCTTTCTGTTACTGAAAAAGAAGATCCTAACTCTTTAGCACGCTCCGCAAATGAGGTGAACAAACCTGATACCTCACCATTCCCTTGTGTGATGGAGGAAGAAGATCTTGATTCTTTAGAATACAATCCCCTGATCGAAAAAGAAGGCCACAGTGATTCCGTCTTCCCTCCAGATATTCAAATTGATGACGAAGAAGGTGTAACAAGTGAACCTGAAAGTAACGTTGGTTATGAAGGTGCTGTAGCAGTTCAATCTGAAAAGGAGGCAGTAGAAGAAGAACCTGAGACTTGCCAACTAAAGTACACGAAGGATGAACAAGACGATCTTGGAAACTATATGGACGACCAAAGTGATGCTGTAGACCTTCTTGACGGGGAGGCTGGCGTACAAGAGTATGATGGTAATCAACTTACTGCTGCAGATAAAGACGAAACTGGAAGTGACGAAGACGAGGAGTCATCTGAAGTAACTCCTCTTGTGCAGGACTGAGGCTTAATAGCAGAATTGCTGAACCTCCAAGGTTGTAGTCTTATAACACTCTGTGGTAATTTGTAGTTTAGATTTCGAGAACTTCAGCCTCAATATTTCATAGCTTTTGATTTTAAGATGTAGTTTCTATCGTACTTTTACTTTATTAATGCTTTGGTAGTGATGATAACCATTTTCATAGTTTATAAATGGAGGTTAGATGGAATTTTCTTGAAAAAAAAACTTGTTTATTTACTTCACTTTTGCATTTCTTAGTTTACCGTTTATTCGCTTGGTGCACTTGTCAGTGCTTTGTTGTTGTTATTGACTGTAGGCTGATAGAGACAAGAAAAAAAAAAGAAAAAGAAATTGCTGTTAAGATAATTTTTATAACTGATCTAGTCAGAAATTTTGCGTAAATTTGTGAGTGTTGTTCCTAGTATAAGTAATATTTCTTAATTTTTTTGTAAGTGCATTGAAGAGAAGAACAATAATGGACATGTTGATCTCTCCCAAGCCACAATGAATATTTACCCTGTTAGGAATAATTAAATTGTTGTAAAGCACTCTCTAAATGCTTCAGTAAACTTATATAAGCTAAACTCGTTTTGTTTACTCCATTCGTTGCAGCAAAATTGCTGGTTCGGATCAGACCACTTTAAGTAAAACAAAGGCATATGCGCATAAAAATGTCATTAATAAGAGTAGAGACAAAAGGGAGAAAAAGGGTGGGGCGAGGAAATCTAACTGTACATCTGATGGACACAATAAACTAAAATGACATTTAGGCTCCTTCAAAACACAGTCGAGCCAATATAACAATGGATTCTCATTCAATCATTTTTCAATTTTGTTTTTGCCACGAGCACTTACATATAAAGCTAACATTGCCTAACCTATTACTTCAACTTTCATCGTGGGGAGAACTGTGCTGATTTTTTAGAGAAACAGGCAACTGCGGTTATTTTCTTACTGTTTTTCGTTGTGTTTCTTGACATGAGCAAGGCCTTTGCCAAGATTAACGATGGCATTTCGGTGTGGCTTAGTTCATCATTAATCCATCTGATAGACAACAAGTAGTGCTCATAAATTCTGAGTTCTCTGACCCTCTGGTCTTTGAATCCAGAGTGCCACAAGCGGTTGTTCCATGACTTGTCTTATTCAGAATATATGTAAATGACTTTTCATATGCCCCTCAATCTTGTTTTACTGAATATTATTGGATGATGCTAAACTTCAGATTTCTTTCCCAGTTCAAGGCTGGGCGAAGACAATAATTTTTTCTGAGGCGTGGAGTGTCCTTTAAATTAAAGTGAAGTAAAACCACGATCGTCGATAAAAGATCAGTAGGGACTCTGACGTCGATCTACACAATTTTGGTTCATGTCTTTTATTTCGGTATTTGTCTATTTGGCTGTTGAGGATACGTTGTAGGAAGTATTTATCGTTTAGATAGGGTTTTGAAATTTTTGTACACGAAATTAAATTTAAGTATGTTTTTATTTGAACCTCCCGAAAATCTGACATATTTCGACCCACTCAAAATGAATATAAAGAGCCCAAAAGTAATCACTAAAACGTAACTTTGCTCATCCTTCTCCATTCACCTCCACGGGATTTGCGCCCAAAAAAGTTGAGACTGTTGCAGGAACAAATTAATCAAAATCATCTTTTTGCATCATTTTATCTCATAGTATTAAAATATACACTAAAACAAATAGTCATTTAAGTGCGGTGGCAAGAGGTGGGTGTTTACATCTCCGCTTCGCAGCTTGGTAAATATCCACCTCTAGTTAAATCTACCTCGGTGAAGAGTTAAGAAATAATAAACATTTGATAAATTTCCAGTGTAGCGATTAGCATCGCAACTTATCGTGATAATGCAAACATTTCAGAAAAGACAACATTGGAAAATGAATCATTTTTCTATCCATATCTTGTAAAATTAATGTCAATAAAGGAAATATAAATAAATTTGAAAGGTCTTGGCTGACCACCAAACACCAGCACACGCACAACAATAACTAAAGTGTGTCAATAATCATATATTATTACCCTTGGTGTTATCAAAACAAGCAGGCTGACATATCTGTCAACCAAAAACGGTCTATTTATGCGACTAAGAATAAAGTATTTGAAAGCCTGATGACCCAATTTGCCAGTCTCTAGCTAAATACTATAACAGGTACTGATAAGTAAACACGTAATACCTCTTGAAAACCGTCAGAAGACGGATTGTGCCTTTCTGTGTAAGCGTAACCGGTTTTAATGACTAAGCTATTGAGTCATTCATCACGCCCTTAAAACCAAGACTATTGCCAAAATGGCCTAGAGTATATTCTAGAGCTCGTGTGAATGATTTATTCGTGATACATCATTACACATTCCACGCTTTGTTTTTGGAAGCAGATGTGAACTGTTTCTGGAAAAAAAAATTTTGTTGAACATTGATAAGGGCTGAGACGCGCGCTTGTGTTTTCATCATAAAGTTAAAGTTCAAGAGAACTTAAAGTTTGGCTAAATCTCGTTTTTTATTATTCTCGAATTTACTAATACCAAAATATAAGCCATTTAATTACCAATCAGCCATTTTTGTGGCTTCCTCAATTTGCGAGATGTTTAATTTAGTCTTATTTGATATTCAAGCATGACGCATTTTAAAATAAAGGTTAGACATATTCATCTTGAGGTTTTTTCCTCCTGATTGTGGGGAAAAGTCAGCTGAAAGAGGCCAAAAATGCAAAAGAAAGCAGTGGTTCACTGTGACTGTATGTATAGAGAAGTCAGCAATAACTGAGGCGGCGAAAAAGGAAAAGAAAATAACAACCTTACTTGTTTAAAAGCGCCGCCGGCAATAGGACTAAAGGGGCCGCACAAATGTACGGGGTAGACTCTTTTAAGGTTTTATTCGACAAAGTTGCTTCGCACTTCGCTGAAAACGGTTTGTTTAGTCAATATGCGAGTTATTAGATTTACGCATGAGAGAACAGGGCACATCGAGCAAAGACAAGTCCACAATTAACGTTTATTTATTAATTTTGTTTATGCATGGGCGATCTTTAAATAAATATTAGAAACCCGTCCAAAATAGATAGAAAGAATCAATTCTCAAACAATATCTCATTGTATTTCATGGCAAAAAAAAGAGACTAATTGATGTTATGTCTTCCTCTTCTTCTTATTCTCCTTCCTGTAAAGAGAACATGGAAAAGAAAAAGAAATTTGTATTCCTCCTCATATTGCAATAGAGTTTTCGACTCTGTAAGTGCAATTGCTTGTCAGCATTCAATGATTCCTTATTGATTAATATAAAAATTCGCAAAAAATTATTTCTTTAAGGACACGGAAGTTTTTCCAAATAAGTACAGGCGACCTCGAATCACGAACAACAACAAAACGCCCTGGCTGTGTCCTTTACTGCCTTTCTCACTTCTGTGATTTTCCAACAGTAAAGAAAGGGATTCAGAGATGAGTTCAGATAAACTAAAGTTTTCGTAAAGAGCCACAGAGCATGAATTGCTGATCCACTAAGTACTGTATGTCTCAATATCGACACAATTATAAAAGGGGTGTAGCATGCCACTAAAGCCAACTGCACCCAAAATATGCTGGAAACTGTTTTCTGATATTGTTTGATGTTTAGTTGAACTCTTTCGTTTAATCTTTGTTTTGATGAACCTTTTGCTGTCCATGCACGTACTCTTCCCCTTCCTGTTGTCCCCGTTATTGCGCCTGCTTCATCTTTTCCTACTCCTATGTCTTCTCCTGCGATTGACCGTCCTTCGCCAGGGTTTTCTTCTACTTCAGCCGGGTACCGCTGTAATCTCAGGTGGATCTTCACGTAGCAAAACACGGAAGTAACCAGAGATACCACAACGGCCACAAAAGCAACAATCTCCGAAACCGTTTGACTCCAGACACGAACCAATCCGCATAAAACAGCAATTATCCAGCATAAAAGTATAACAGCTTGAGTTCGCTTTAGTGTCACAACTTGTCTGTATCTCAACCTCAATAACAGAACAAGAAGTCTGTCGACACTGATGACTGTTGATATCAGTAGAATCACTCCAAAAAAAACATAGTTGGATATACAAACAACCTCTTCGACGTAATACAAAATATCTATGTCGGTGTTACCAAGATCAATGTAAAGAAATAGAGCAGTCACGAACAGAGGTTGTGAAAAAAGACCCACACAAAGATCGATAGCGGCTAGACATTCTAACAAGACCTTTGTAGCGGGATGCAAAGAGGACAGTTTATAAAATGTTAATAGAAGCAGAGCATTACCAAGAGATGCAGTGAAGGAGAGGACAATGTTGAAAGCGAGGAGAAATGCTACTACTCCAATTGGTAATTGTGAAGATAACTGGCTTGTGAGGGTCGCCATTGGCGCTCACATTCTGTCTTTCCCTCTTTTGGCAGCAAATGAACGTTTATTGGGCGATCCGTATTCAATTTAAGAGTATTATTGTTTTGTTGAGAATTTTAACAGTTTCTATTGGATAAAAAATTCCTCCTCTTGTCTGATTTTCCGATGACAAATGTCACAGCTATAATTAGACTTGTTTTTAACTCTTTCGTGTTTTATTCATATTCCTTGAATTTTCATCATGTTTAGTGAACGGGTGCCACATTTATTTAACATACTAAATGACGTAGAATCTGTGAATTATTTTTTGTCGATACTTTGTAGAGCTTCCTCAACAAGTCAGCTTTCCTTTTCAGTTCCTGTCTCATGTGTGTCTTTGCCCTTCTTAGCCATGCTCGTTTTGATTTAAGGTAACATATCTGTGGTTCCTTTATGATAAGCAAATGCTTTTTAGATGAAAAGAAAAATACACAATATACTTATGTTAAGGAACATCGTAGTCCATTCTCATAAATAAAGGAATTCTTGAGCTACAAACAACAACAAAACGGTCTGATTGTCTTCTTTACTGCAATTCTCACTTCTCTGAACTTCAAGCACTAAAGAAAGAGATTAAAATTCCCAAATTGTGTAATACACATACATTTTTCAAAGATAAAAACATGACGTGCTCATTGTTGAGTTGAATTAGCAACTGAAAGATGGAAACGTAAAAGCCGCGCTTCAAAAGATTGCAATATCACTGTCATCATCCGAATCATCATCGCCAGATATCGTGATTTCAATTTCGTCATCATCATCATCATCCTCATCGTCATCATCATCATTCTCATCATCATCGTCATCGACATAGTCGTCTTCCTCGCCACCTTCTTCCTCTATTGGAAATGAAAGGCTAGTTAGTCGCAAGGCTCTCCTCCCCACCCCCTTCCCCAGCATTTCGTCAAGCTTTCGCACCAATTTCTGCTTCCCATTTTTATTCCTAGGTGGAGAGATGTACTGTGAGAATAACGTATCCAAAGAACACTTCACAAAGACCTAACCAGGGTCCCAACCCAGACTCCTCGACCCTGATTCCTACGCTTTAATGATTGGGCTTCAGCTCCTCAAATAATTTCACAAAGAGGTTTGGAGGAAGGAAAAAAACAAAACAAAACAAAAACAACATTGAGACTTTGAACAGGATTTGAGCTTGTGACCTC